TAAGATTAGAGAGATTTGGTTATGTCGGAATAGTAATAAGTCAAATTAGTTGTTTCACTGTCAGGTTAGGTTAATCTATACTTCTACTAAAATTAATTTAAATTAAAATTAAAGGTTAGGTAAGGTTATATTAACTGAAGTCTAGGTTAGGGTAAGGTTATATTAACTGAAGTCTAGGTCAGCTCAGCAAATGTCATAAAAAATACAGTAGTAGATGTTTCACATGTTTGAAAACCTTTCAAATACTTGAAAAGATAAGTTTTCCTTGTCAAGCTGTATTTTATAATTAATATTGCATCTTCTTCTATGCTGTTGATGAAATAAGTCAATTTGTCATGAACATTTCTTCGTATTTTCTCGTGTCATGTTCTTTTAACATTTAGACGTGTTAATTGAATACTTACATAGTCTATTCACTAAGCATTAAAGAATGTTTCTAAAGATGCGAATCTAAGACTTCTTAAGTTTTTAAACTAGAAATTTTCTAGTAAATTTTATTATTTTTTAATCTGAAAATTTTTCAATTTGCCAATTTTGTAAGTTTTTGAACGTGGCCTTATAAGCTTGAAATACTGAATTTATGAATTTATAAATTTGTAAATTTACAAATTTAAAAAACTCGTAAATTTTAAATATTTTATTTTCTAAATTTGAAATTACAGAAATAGAGAAAAGTATGAATTAAAAAGGGACAAAAGAAATTCAAATTTCAATTAAATATCCCTTAATTTTAGTTTAACTTTAAGTTAAAATTACCAAAATTAAGATTCAGTTCAAAAGTAACTTAAAGATTATTTTTCATTAAAATCATTTGTAAAAGTGTAACCAATCCGTCGATCATTTTGATCGGTGATGTGTAACACTGTTCATTATTCAAGTACATCAGCGAGTGTAATGACGATCGAAGATAGTTACTTGCGTACATGTTACGAAACACCTTTTATCAAGTTTGCTAACATACTACTCATAAAGCAATGTATATTGCAACTGAACATCAAATATCTATTGTTGAATGATAATATATAACAAAATTGTCACTTAACCTCTGTTTAGAGTACCAGGTAATAAATACCTTAAATCTTCAATAGAAAAGTCAGATAAAAATATTTAATTCTCTTTGAAAATAATTATGATACTGTATATATACATTATTTTAGTCGCAAAAAATGTGGACCGACAAACTTTTCTTCTCTTTTGTCATTCTTTCTATTTATATTGGTAATGAAAAAAATATTATAACTTTAGATAGTTATGATCACATTATACACAAAATTAAGTTAAGTTTTTCCATATGAGCTTAAATAATTTTAATAAATGAAACTTATACTAAAATAACATGTATTCACTAAACGAAAATAACATTAAAAAGATGTAATAAAGTCATGTAATACATGGATGATTTATTATAATATTACAATAAAAACAAATAAAACACAATGATAACGTAATTCGTGCGTATGCAGTTTTCCCGCCTTTTTTATAGGGAACCATTTTGTAACACCTTTCAATTACAAAATGGTGTCTACAAAACTTCCCATACAAATATGTTTATTACACGCTAAAAATTAGTATTAACTTTTTTATTTTTTAAAAAATTAAAAATATTTTGCAAATAATTTAATTCCCAAAAAAGATTTTATTTTCATAATGTAAATGCATGTATTATTATTTGTTATTTTTGTTTCCAACAAAAAACGCCGAACCTTAATCTGAAATATGAATCATCCAAGGCGAACGAAATATCCCGACATTGACATTTAAAGACTTATAACTCTATTTATAAAAAGAAATTTGTTGTCCATTACGTAACTACGTGCCCAAAAATATCAACGGATTAAATTCATCTGAGAACTGAAATTCATAGGTGTCCATGAATACTTAAATATTTTTGTTGCTGATTTATGGTTGCGAGATATTTTGATCATAATCGATGCTGTCTGAATGCTATCGTGAATAAATGACAGATGTATTCTATTATTACGAAATGGACGTTTACAAAGGCGATATATCCGGTTCTATTTTCAGTTCGTCGACCGTAATTGCAACAAAATGTCGTTCACCATTTTGTTGCGACAAAAGGGTGGAAATCGGGTCATCCTCTGTTGTAGTTATATTATTAATTCCGATGAACATTAGCTAAGCATTACGAAAATGATTTTAACTCTCACTTAGAACGCACTTCTTTAAATGTTCGTATGAGAATAATTTCAAACTCTCAAATTCACAAATTCTCAAATTCTCAAATTCTCAAATTTCCGAATTCCTAAATTCTCAAATTTCCGAATTCCTAAATTCTCAAATTCCCAAATCCCCAAATTTTCAAATCCCTAAATTGCCAAATCCACAAATTTCCAATAATTCCATATTGCTCAAATTCTCAAATTCCAAAATCTCCAAATTTCCAAATCTCCGAATTCCCAAATCCCCGAATTTTTAAATCCCCAAATTCCCAATATTCACCAATTCCCAAATCTCTAAGTCCCCATATTCCCAAATCTCCGAATTCCCAAATCCCCGAATTCCCAAGTCCCCAAATTCCCAATATTCACCAATTCCCAAATCCCCAAATCTCTAAGTCCCCAAATTCCCAAATCTCCGAATTCCCAAGTCCCCAAATTCCCAATATTCACCAATTCCCAAATCCCCAAATTCCCAAATCCCCAAAATCTCTAAATCCCCAAATCCCCAAATCCCCAAATCCCCAAATCCCCACATCCCCAAGGCTCCAAATTCCCAAATTCCAAAATTCCCAATTCCCCAAACCAATTCCCAAATTCCTAAATTTCTGAATTCCTAAACTCCTAAGTTCCAAACATTCACATTTCTAAATTCCCCTATTATCTAATCCGAAAATTCCAATCATCTCCATTTCCAAATCCCTAACTTTTCGAAATTCTCAAATTTTCAAATTTCTACATTGGCAAAACAACAATTTCTCAAATTTGTCTACACTCAACCCTTCCAATTTTCAACTCTACAAACGAGTCGTACCGTTAAAACATGAGTCCGATTCGTGGGAACGTTCTGAACCTGTCTCGACCTACGTCTGGCTACGAATAATTTACAAACTGAAAGAATGCCTTCGTCAAAGGTTTCACATGTGTAACAGAGTGCCAAAAAAATCTTGACTTGCACACAGAACACGTAGAGTCATTGCTTCATTGCGTCTTGCGTGAATCCCTATGAAGTGAAACGATTGTAGGAGAGTGAAAGTCTTTCTTAACACGTCTCTTGTCACCCTGCTCGATGTCGTCACAGTCTCCTAATGTCCGAACACGCGATACCGCGTCCTTGGATAGTAATCTTTGAACCCTTTTGTTCTCCTTGCTTTTATTTTGCATTTGTTATGCATTATACTATATTTGTTATGGTTAGGTTATATAATTGTTAGGGTTAGGTTATATACTTATCGAGATTATATTATACAATCATTAAGATTGAATTACATAGTTATTTAGATTAGGTTAAATATTTATTGCGGTTAGGTTATTTTAGGTTACGTTATGCAATCATTAAGATTAAATTACACAGTTACTAAGGTTAGGTTACATACTTACCGTGGTTAGGTTATTTTAGGTTACGTTATGCAATCATTCAGATTAAATTACATAGTTATTGAGGTTAGATTACATACTTATTGTGGTTAGGTTATTTTAGGTCACGTTATGCAGTCATTAAGATTAAATTACACAGTTATTAAGGTTAGGTTACATACTTATTGAGGTTAGGTTATTTCAGGTTACGTTATACAATCATTCAGATTAAATTACATAGTTATTAAGGTTAGGTTACATACTTATTGTGGTTAGATTATTTTAGGTTACGTTATGCAATCATTAAGATTAAATTACATAGTCATTTAGATTACTTATTGTGGTTTAGGTTCTTTTAGGTTACGTTTTAAGATTAAGTTACATAGTTATTAAGGTTAGGTTATATACTTATTGAGGTTGAGTTATTTTAGATTACGTTTTGCAATCATTAAGATTAAAGTACACAGTTATTTAGGTTAGGTTATATACTCATTCAGGTTAGGTTATTTTAGGTTACATCAATTTGAAGGTCAGGTTATATACTTGTTAATGTCACAGTACATAAACATAATTATTGAAGTTAGATTATATACTTGTTAAAATTAAATTATATAATCGTTAAGGTTACATTACATAATTATTTAATAACAATAATATTACTGATCAATTTTAAATAAGCTTATAATGTAGACAAACTTTAAATAATTATTATTAATTATTAATAATAAACAAATTTGCTACAACATTTACAATATCATCACTATTAATTATTAATGAGAAGTGAATGTATTATAACATTTACGATATCATTATTATTAATTAAAAAAATGAATTGCTTTCACAGAAGTATAAATCAAAATTGATCGTTCAAGGACGGATAAATGAACCCAACTAAAACAAGATTGGTCATTCATGAATTAATTAATTAAAACAGTTAACTCAGCGTTAAACAAAAAATTGAAGAAAGCTACAATGCTGTAAACAAAAATTCTCTGAAACGATGATATGACGTATAACAAATTCAAGTTACAACAAGAATTTCGTTAATTTCATTAATATTATTCCATATTTGTTTTTTACTATAACACAACTTCTTTAACTTGGAACAAATTAATTTTTGCCAAGGTTCAACAACATTCTCCCGCAGCTAAAGATATATTATAGCATCAAATATTGCTAGTCATCCACAAAAAATTAAATTCAAACATTACGTGCTACAAGGAAATAAATCTACAAATTTTATTTCACATTTTGATTACTCACTCCACTGAATATTAATGAGCACCAAATTCTTATGTCATAGGTATCTACGAATAAATTTAAAAATAGAAGCCACTGAAACTAGTTTCCAGAAATCCCGTTAATATAAGTAACCAATAAAAATACGTGCGTTGTAAAATTTCGCGAATACGCAGAACCTTTTTGCTCGTTACGTCAAACGGATTCTAATAAACTATTTTTTTACAGATGAATTTTCAGAAGAAATTGATCGTGAAGCAAGAAGATTGTTACAAATTCTACCGGCGTATTATCCAGGTGTTGGTCGAGTGAGCCAAGAATGCAAAAGGGACGCTGGTATTTTTTATCGAGAACTTGCGAAATTTACTTTATGGGCCCTTAAAAGTAAGTACACGTATCTGGAAAGAATTTTAAAATGTTCCAATTTATTGATAGTTTTGTACCTTTTCGAAACATGTATTACATAGCTAAGACTTTGTGTAGTAATGGAGACTGGTGTGTAGAAATACATGTTCAAAAGTTTGGTAGACATTTTACTACTGTTTTTTCCTTGAATGTTTCCGAATTTTTAGATTTTAGACAAATTTTGAAGATTTTCGATATGTAGATTTGTAATTCACTAATTATATCTGCAAGTTTTTAAATTTTTAAGTTTCTACGGTTTTAGTATGACCTCAGATTTGTGAATGATTTATTGAACGTTCAATTTGTAAATTTTTTAATTTACAGACCTGTAAATGTTTGAATTAGAGAATTATTATGTGCACAAATTTTTAGGATAGACATTTATAAATTACATCTGCAACCTCTGAATTTATAAATTTTCATCTTCTGCAACCTATAACTGACTAAATTTTCGTCTTCTGCAACCCTTAACTTTCTACATTTCCATCTTTTTCAAACCCTACATTTTTTCATTTCCATCTTCTGCAACCCCTAATTTTGTAAATTTCCGTCTACTGCAACCCCTAGCTTTGTAAATTTCCATCTTCTGCAATCCCTAACTTTCTACATTTCTATCTTCTGCAACCCCTCACTTTCTAAATCTCCATCTACTACAACCCCTAACTTTCTAAATTTCCACCTTCTGCAATCCCTAACTTTCTAAATTTCCATCTTTTGCAACCCTTAACTTTCTAAATTTTCATCTTCTGCAACCCCTAACTTTCCACATCTGCATCCTCTATAACCCCAAACTTTGTGAATTTCCAGATCTTCAAATCCATACACTTGCAACTTCCAAAATTCTCAAACCGCTAAATTTCCAAATTGTCAAATTACCATAATCAAAACTTTTCAGCATTTCAAATTTGCAAATTTCTAACTCCTTAAATCCCTAACTTTGCACACTTCTAACCTCTAAAAATCTCTAAAATTGCAAACTTCCACAATTCGAAAATAGCAAATTTGCACATCTTTAACACCTCAAGTCTCCAAACTATGCACATCTTTAACATCTCAAGACTCCAAACTATGCACATCTTTAACACCTCAAGTCTCCAAACTCTTAAATTTCAAAATTACCAAATTATCAAATTCCAAATTGCAAAATTTTCAAATCATTGAATTAAAAAATTTTCAAATTATACCTTACACATGAACCTCAACACAAATTCTATGTTACTGTTATAATAATTATGCAATTACTAAAATATAATCATAGAAATTTTTATTACATTCACATCCATAAGTTTTTTCACAGTTTTCACATTTTATGAACAATGAAACACATTTAAACAATCATCAGTATTCAAAATAATATACAATTCAGTATCAAAAATATTGCTTCAGTATTACTGTAAAAATTTAGTATTACTGTAAAATGTGATCACATCACACAATAAAGTACACGTTATTTTCGTGAGAACTTCGCAGAAAGGCAGAAGATACCTATAATCTCATTTTCAAATCAGAAAATAAAAATTCAGCAAGAGTTCTAGTCCCGCAAATAAAAATGTATTTATACAAAACAACATCGTCACTATGCTGTGTCTACCTGGCTACGTCTCACATATTCATTCTTCAAAAAAAAAAAAGTGAATGACATTCTCCATGTTTCATTCAAATTCAAACCACATCCGGCATAATACGTACACTCGTCAGCAATATTAAACAATCGTACAAATTTTATTGTAAAAATTTTTTTTCACATTAAAGATTAAAAATTGTCGATGATGCACCACTATTCAAATTTTTGGGTTATTTTAATTATATGTAGGGAATTAGTAATATAGAAAAGTTTAGTGTAGCACATTTTAAATTGTAGCTACAGAAGAATGTTGTTATCACGATTAGGTTAGGTTACATATAATGTGGACATATAATGTGTATAGTCGTGTGGGACTGATTGTGTACGTGAGGTCATAAACCTGCCAGAAGCTACTCAGTTTTAAAATGCAAAAGTGATAAATCTGAGAATTTATAACTTTGTAATTTCTGTTATTAAAGTAATGTTGTATTTTTTAAATTTGAGATTTGAAGATTTTAAATTTTGAAAATTTTTTATCTTCTAGATTTGGAAATTTTGTATTTTTTGCATTTGAGGTTTGAATATTTGAAAATTTGAAACCTGGATGATTTTGTTTTTTTTAGATTCAAAATTTGAGGATTTGGTCATTTTCAAATTTGAAGCTTTAAAAATTTTGTATTTTCGGGACTTGAGATTTGAAGATTTGAAAACTTGACAAATTTGAAACTTAAAAGATTTTGTATTTTCTGCATTTGCGATGTGAAGATTTGAAAATTGCAAGCTTTGAGGATTTGAAGATTTAAGGATATATATTTCTAGACAAGAAAATTTCTCGATTTGTACTTGTAGGTTTCTAACTTTATGAATTTCTGAACACCCAAATTTCTAAATTCGAAAATTAACAAATTTTAAATTACCTAAATTTCTAAATAAGAAAATTTCTGAGTTTGAACACTCAGTTTAGCTTCTAGCCATATAAGCTTCTCAATAGCTAAGTTTCCAAACTTGAAAATTAGAGAATTAAAAAACTTAAAACTATCTAAATTTCTAAATGTGAAAATGTAAAATACTTACAGTTCCCTAAATTTATGAATTTCTGAACAGCAAAATTTCTAAATTTGCACACTTGAAAGTTAATCTTTAACGCTCCGAGTGTGCCCCTCAAGCACCGCCGATGAGCGGCGTTACATTACTCAATTATAATTAATAAAAATATTATAATCAAAATTATATTACTTTTGAGGTGAATAAAGAGTGTTCCACTTTAACCCTTTGGGTACATTTGACGAGTGAGACTCGTCATCTGTTTACTTGGGCGAAGTTACGGTGGACGAGTCTGACTCGTCATTTGAATTTAAGAAGACTTTTATATATTAATCCATTTAGCGATAAATTAAATCCGACCCATGGGCATAAAAATCTTCAAATAATTCAGTACTCAAAGGGTTAATATTATTATTTGCACGTTATTGTCGTATTTAAAATCTGGCACATAAAAACTTGCATTTGATGATGAGAATAAATTGCAGTTGTCGACCCATATTCACATTTAAAGGTTGAAGCGTTAAGGCTTAATTTACAATTCACTTAAAAATTTGGAAACTTGAAGCTAAAGTGCAAATTCTAGGGTAAAAGTACTCCATTTGCCCCAGGGGTAGTTCTGATCTACAACCCACACCAAGCAACCCAATAATTCAATCCAAAAGAACTCATTCACTTTTATTTGCATTCACCGCAATTTTCTAACCTGACGCTTTTATTTTTGTTTTCAGTGTACGACGCAACGGCAAAAATGCCATCCGGTCTCCTGAGCGGAAACCTAAATCAATTTGGTGACTTCGATGAATGCATCGGAATCCAGGGAAGCGAAGGAATTCAAGGTCAATATTGCTTGACGTATCTGCAATTGAGTATCGACGAGACACGTTCAGATCTCAAGAACCTCGATCGCCTTCTGCATTCTCACTATGCTTTCAGAAGCAACATTACTGATGTAAGTACGTAAATATGTTTCTATTTTCATTGACATACCAATGCAAAATTTCGCAATGTCAATGACATTTGGAAGACAATAAACATTCGAAGAAGTGTTTATTGCTTCTAAGATTGCAACATGCTCATAACCCCTGTCGTACGATTTGTCAGGTGCGTCAGTCGGAACTGACCATTCGCTGATATAATAATGAGACGAGTAAAATAGGAGTGTTATGTCTATTTTATATTCTGCGATTCTTAACTGGACAAATTCTTGACTATGTAATTGGATTTGGGTGTTGAAAGTTTCATTAGGATTTGTATTATTTCAAATGTGAGTGCATCACGAGTTAGATTCAATGAACAAGGGTTAAGGAAGATGTGTTGGGAACATTCTTTTATGATTAATGTTAGATACTGATTTGTCGATAAATACACTGAAAATAATAATCTATAATAGGTGCACCTGATAATAAAGTTTGCAAAATCCATAAATCCCCAATCCTCCAATAATTTCAAACTCTAAAATTCTCAAATTCACAAACTCTAAAATTCTAAAATTCTAAAATTCTAAAATTCTCAAATTCTTAAATTCTCAAATCCCCAAATTTCTTAAAGTGTTAAGAAAGATGTGTTGAGAACATTCTTTTAATATTTATAAAATTTTTTCAAAACAAATACGTCTTTCTGATCCAATAAACATATACCAAATTATTTGCAAAAGAACTGATTCAAAAACATAAAATAAAATAAAAGAGATTAAAAACTGAAAATTAAAGAGACTGCATTGAAAAAAAATTTCAATGAAAGTGACTCCAGATTTAAAATTATTCTGAAGTCTATATTAATACACAGAACATTGACGCAAAACTATATAGTGAATGAATACAAAATCAATCAATCAATTGGCATGCAAGAGCTATGTAAATCAAAGTGCCTCAGAAGAAATTTCTCAGAGAATAAAGAACATGTAGTCGAATCGCAGTTGTGTCGAAAACGAGGACGTAATATGAATTTTAAGTAAGACATCTGACACCTTAAAGCATGCAGATCATTCTAAATAGCATGATGACGCAGTCATAAGTTAATTTTGATTCTAAACTATGAATAGGCTCTTTTGTGTTCTTAACCAAAAAAATGATAAAGTTACGTCACCGTATGATTAAACGATGACTCTAATTTTAGATATTAATTTAGTATTAAAACATTCAAAAAAACCTGTTTTGCAAAGCATTTTTGGTAATTGTTTGTTTTATTTACTGTTTTCTGAAAGTCATATTTTTTGGATTAATTGAAGTAGTTAATATTGTGTAGATGAGAAGGGTTTTAATGAAAAGTAAGTAGGTTAATTGGACCTAACTCAACCTTAAATTAAGCAAACATAACTAACTTAACCATTATTGAAAGCTTTAAAGTATGACTTGAAATAGGAAGTCATATATGAAGTCGAATCTAATCAAATATAAACTAATTCACCTAATTCTTATTAAATCCTTGCTACTCAATAATACTATTCATGATGATTTACGATAACTAACCTAATCCTTACCAAAACCTTATTACACAATAATACTATTCAAGATGGTCCACTATACCTAACCTAATCCTTACTAAATCCTTACTACTCAATAATACTATTCAAGATGTTCCACTATACCTAACCTAATCCTTACTAAATCCTTACTACTCATTAATACTATTCAAGATATTCCACTATACCTAACCTAATCCTTACTAAATCCTTACTACTCAATAATACTATTCAAGATGTTCCACTATACCTAACCTAATCCTTATTAAATCCTTACTACTCAATAATACTATTCAAGATGTTCTACTATACCTAACCTAATCCTTACTAAATCCTTACTACTCAATAATACTATTCAAGATGTTCCACTATACCTAACCTAATCCTTACTAAATCCTTACTACTCAATAATACTATTCAAGATGGTCCACTACACCTAACCTAATCCTTACTAAATCCTTACTACTCAATAATACTATTCAAGATGTTCCACTATATCTAATCTAATCCTCATCAAATCCTTACTACTGAATAATATTATTCAGGATGATCCATTATACCAACCCAAACCTACCATTATCCTACCTTGTCAATTCAAATCTTCACAATACTACTTAAGATAGTAATCTTAATAACATACAACATATATAAACGTATAATTTAATTTAAACAAAATAATTTTCAATATTTTAGTCAAATCAATATCACTCCAAATTCATAATTCTATATAACCACAAATACATGTATTATTTAAAAAAAGTCAAGTAACATTAATATTTCATTAAAAAGAATTATTTAAAAAATTGTTAACATTCAAATACATAGTGAATTGAAAAATAATTTTTGCTTATAACCTTTTATTGCATATTGTTAAAAACATTTTAAAAATGGTTGTCATATACACTAAATATATTCTGAAAAAAATTTGAAAAAATAGTTTTGAAATTCTCTTACTATTCTTGCTCGCTTTCTATTATGACCGTTAAGTCATACAAGCGTCATATCAATGTAATAGTTTTAGACAACGTAATTGTAGAACGCGATTCCTAGTTAGAGTTGTAACACGTTTCGCATTGAAATTACACCCTGTAGTCTGAGATGTGACAACAATACCAAAACATAGTTTACAAGATAGTTATTTCGTTTTTGCACAATCACTGAATCAATAAATTCTTGAATTACAAGCAGATATCTACAGTTACAAATTTTTCTACGTTAATATTTGAAATAATGATTTTACGCTTTTCATTTTGAAACAGATATACAATTTTAATTTTTGGGCCTTGTATTTAAATGACACGACCTTGCAGTGATTCAAGGTTTTACTTTATTGCAAGTAGCGTTTCGAATTTATATTCTTTCGTTCATTATGTGGAAATAAAAGACCTCATTTAAAGAATTGAAAGTGGCCCTTGAGTAAACTTGATCATTTTTTACATTGTTAGTCACATGACTATAATATATATTTATTTCTTTTAAGAAATGTTCAAATACCATTTAAAGCATGAAGGTGAAGTGAAGTAAGTGCAGACTGGTTTTTTTAAAGTTGGTATTTAAACGTAAGTATTTTCAGTCCGTTATGTAAATACTTAACGCTGTCGATATCGAACGCTTTACACAATAACTACTATTTAATTAATATTAACTAGGACCTTAATTTTCCTTGTACATTTTGATTTTGGTAGAAAATTGTTTAAAATGTCAACTACTCTGCACTTTCCCCGAAAATGGGGTAAGAGCGTAATTTGAAGTTAAATACTTTGAAACTTTATTTCATGTGCAATGAGGCAAGAGCAGAATTATTAACAAATCTACTATAAAATGCTTTTTACTGCATTATGCAAGTACTATATACTGCAAACAAGTACTCTTAGCTGAAATATAAAAGGGGATATAGTGAAACAAAACATACTAAATGGAGAAATTTCGCTCATATTGTAATCAAAATAGCCTGTATACGCACTTGCCCCGTTTACGAACTTACTCCACTTCACCTTATGAAAAAAAAATTATTTTCTGACGAAACTCTCCAGTTTAAATACTTTTTATTTTCTAGCCTGGACACAGAGTGCCCCGATTCAATATAGTGAACTGGGGAGTATGTACACCAGCATCATGTAGTTCCAAAGATGTCGAAACGTCTGTTCGTGACATTGTCACAAGATACACCTCTCAAACAGGTCTCAAGGTTACAGTGAAGGTGAATGAAGAAATGTGTCAAGTAAAGAAAGAATCTATTCCAAAGGATACCATGTATGTTAGGTAAATGTCACCATTTTTTTTATAAAAATAAAATATTAATTAAAACTAACTTTTTAACACGTTGACTGTTTCTTAATGGATATACTTCTTTTTCTTCAAACAATATAACAAATATAAATTAAATTAAATTAATGTGAAAATTCTCAAAAATTTATTTTACGATTAAATGTTATATTATTATTGGAGTATATAATGAAACATCAAAGCTACCTATGGTATTTTATTGTTGCAAGAATTCAAAATGTAATCAAAATAGAGGGTGACACTATCCAAAATGGCGGCGTTAGCGAATGAAATAACAGTCAATATGTTAAAACAATGTTTATACAAGGCTTCAATAAAGCAATATTTTTTTTCAGTTTATTGTTTATGGCCATGTTTGTTTTAACAATCATAGCAGCATACTATGATCATTACGAAATACCTACTAATGAGCTACTGCTATGTTTCTCCTTAAAACGTAATTATAAGAAGCTTGTATCGTTAGAACGAAGTCAGAATGACATACCTACGCTCCATGGTGTGCGAGCAATAAACGCTGCAATGTTGCTTTTAGCTCACAAAAGCATGGCTCTTTTTTTTAACCCATATGTAAATAGAACAAATATGAGTGAGGTATGATTGCATTACTTGAAAATATTGGTATTGTTCCGCGTCAAATCGGTTTCTTTTTAAATTGTATTAGCATATTGCGATGGGACAACATTTTTGGAGTAAAATTGAGATGGGTGAAATAATTTGACTTGAGGAATCAATATTGTAATGATTCCAAATCTGTAAATTAATAAATTCGCAAATGATCAAATTTCTACACTTTGTAATTCTAAAATAGTTGAAATCTCAAATTTTTAATCCAAATTCCTAAATTGTTAGATTTAAAAATTTCAAAAATTTCTAAATTAGCAAGTTTGAAAATTTCTAGAGTACTAAATTCCCAAACTTCCTAATTCTCAAGTTCCCAAATTTCCAAACTCTCAAGTTCCAAAACTTCCAAATTCCCAAATTCCCAAATCTCCTAATTTCCAATCTCCCAAATTCCCAAATTCCCAAACTCTTAAGTTCTCAAACTTCCAAATTCCCGAATTCCCAAATTTCCAAATTCCCAAATCTTCTAATTCCCAAAATCTCCTAATTCCCAAGTTCCCAATATTCTCAAATTTCCAAATTCCCAAATCTCCTAATTCCCAAGTTCCCAATATTCCCAAATTCCCAAATTTCCAAACTCTCAAGTTCCCAAATTTCCAAATCCCCAAATCCTCAAATCCCCAAATTCGCAAATCCCCAAATCCCCAAATCCCCAAATCCCCAAATCCCCAAATCCCCAAATTCCCAATTCCCCATATTCCCAAAATCCCTGAATTTCCAAATTTGCAATTCCAAATTCCCAAATTTTCAAATCACTAAACTTGTTTTATTCCCAACTCCCCACATTCCTAAATATCTCAATTCTTCAAAATTCATATATATTACATCAACAATAGACTTTCGTTATATTGCCACCATCATCTACTGTACATTATTTTAAAAAAAAACAATGCAAATTAAAAAGTAATCGATTCGACGCAAAATGATCATGAACTGATTTGACAAATGTAAAATGTACTTTTAGTACCTTGGTAAACCATGGACAGTGATAGGAAGAGCGGCTAGTCTTTACACGGATCCATTTATAATGCTCTCAGGACTTCTAACGTCGTACTCTTTTATTGGAAAATTAAAGAAGACTGGAAATTTAGACATAAAAAATGAATATTTATCTCGTCTGATTAGGTAATAAAGATAATTTATACTTTAATATCAGTAACTAACAAATTACCCTTAATCTATGTATATTGTTTTTCTTAATAATTGATTCTTAATAAACATTCTTTCTTTTCCAGACTAGTTCCATCGTTAGCGGCATTAATGTTATTTTGCACTTATATAATGCCACACATTGGTTCCGGACCGCAGTGGAACTTGGTAGTAAATGAACATGCAAATATTTGTAAAAGAACATGGTGGAAAAATTTCCTGTTTATACATAATTATTTTGGATTCGAATCAATGGTACGAAATTACATTTTATGAAATTGAAAGAACAGATGTATTGAGAAGTACTTTATGAGCATCTTCTTTCATTTTAGTGTCTCACGCATACTCATCATTTAGGTATAGATACTCAACTTTTTATGTTGTCTCCTGTAATGGTGCTTCTTCTTCACAAAAGTCCAAAGATTGGAGCTATTATACTTACTATTTGTGCACTATTTTCGACTGCACTCCGATATTTTGTAACATATTATAAACAATTAAGTAACTACATTTTCTTTGGCACATCGTAAGTAATAATATTAACAAATAATTATTTACTTCAACTATGTTTACCAATATAAATCAGAAATCTTAATTGTTCATACTACATTGAACATCCATGTATAATTTTAATGCTGCATATATGTTCACAGAATTAAGCAATTATTTGAAACTGCGAATTACTCGTACACTCTACCATCCCATAGGCTGACTGTTTATATACTAGGAATTTCCGTGGGTTATTTATTAAGATATTTGCCTAGGGATTATAAGATGAATAAAGTAAGCAAAGATACCTACATTTTCAAAATATGAAATCATTCAATTTAATAGTTTTTTATATCTGTTTAGACATCTGTACAAATAGGTTGGATTGTGTGCACGATAATGTTCTGTTTAGCATTTTTTGGTCCTGCACACATGGGATCAATAAGTTACAAATATAATGCAGTAGATGCAGCGATGTACAATGCATTTGCACCTATTGGTTGGTGTGCCATTTTTGCTTGGGTCATTATAATGCACTATACAGGAAATACAAATGGTAATTGTATTAGAAAGAACCAGTATGGTTGTTTGAAAAAATGTATACGTTCAGAGTAAACTAAAATGTACATATAATTTCAGGTTGGCTTAGTAGGTTTTTATCATGGAAAGGATTTTTGATCACTACGAGGATCAGTTATGCGATATATCTGACCCAATTTCCCATATATTTTTACAATGTAGGAAAAACCAGAAGTGCTGAACATTATGAATTCTTTAGTATGCAAGTAAGTTATTCACATTTTTTTTTATATAAACTTCAATAAATCATATACAAGTACAGATATAATGTTAGAATGTATTTCTTTGCAGTTCAACTTGAACGAATTGGTATGGATTATTGTCTTATCAATAACTCTTACTTTACTAGTTGATACACCAGTGCAAAATATTAAAAATTATCTGATGAAAAAATCTCCAGTGCCAGAACCTACGACAAAACTACTGAAAATACAATAACTGTGTTTTACCAAATATTTATTTGTACAATCAAAACTATTGTAAATAATGTTTAAAATTTTCACCTTTTGCAATTAAAATCTCTAGACTTGCCCTCATTTATGACAATAATTAAGATATAATAATTAAGAATATTTGTAATTTATATAAATATTTTCACGATTTATATAAATACTTGTAAATATCTATTTTTGTAATTTTAATTTTATATATTTACAAAATATTATAAATTTTATGTACAATTTGTACCTAATTAATTTAATCCAATGTTATTTATTTCCAAATACCTTTTTTATTACTATATTATGTTTGAAAATCTATTTTAAAATATATCATTTAACAAATCCGATGTTTCGTTCTTTTTTAATTTTCTATTGGAAAATTTTGTTATCTTATTCTTTGTCATAGTTATTGATTATTATTAAAATATTAATATATCATTTAAATTACTGAATTTATATCCTTTATTATCCCAATTCAGAATATAGTGAAAAATGACATATATCTGTTTACAATTGTTATAACATTTAACAGGTTGAACACAGAATAGGTAAAATATAAAATTTTTAAATATGCATGCGTATATATTACTTAAATATATTTTGCTATTATAGTGCAACTTATTTTAATTAAAACATATTACTATTTGCAAAAGATTATACAACCTTCACTAAGAGAATATTAATTACTTCATACAATGAAACCCCCGAATCTTAGTAGCATTCATTGCTATTTTCAATTTCAAATGTCTGCAAAAAATCTTGCAACCTATGTCTGTAGATACAGGGGTTTTAATGCATATGTATATAAAAATGCAACTACAATACTATGGTTGTATTTTAAGAAACCTTAACTTACAAATATAAAAAACAACAATGTGTTTAATAATATTTACAGTATAATCATTTAGAAATGATGATTTTATTATAAACTCTTAAATACATAAACATGGCAAAAACCGGAATTACGAAAAAACAACATAAACGAAAGTCAAAATAAAATAAAAAGGTTAAAGTAATTCATACGAGACGCAACGAGCATTTAAATTGAGATCAATATAATATGTAATAATAATGTTTCGTTTTTTAAAGTATTAAAAGTAGAAATTTCTATTATTCATTGTATTCTTATTTCTAGAAACATTATTCGTATATATTAATGATTAAAAGCAGAATCGTGTAATAGATACATGTAATCATTTATTGCATTAATGAAGCTTTATAGTACTTAACTATTAATTATATATTATGACTGGTAATTAGAAATATATTACTAATATACTTTCAGTTACATATTATAATCAAATAAAATAATTGTAAAAGGTATAACTACGTCGGAAATAACTCTATAATAGGATTTTCTGTTCATATGTGTTTTTTAAATTCAATATTTTTTCAAAAACTAGTAAATAATAATATGTGTAATTGGTAATATACATGAAAGCATTTCAACAGTGGTTATTTTATATAATATATGAATTTATATACCTGTCTATTACTGCTTCCAATTTTCTGAACTGAAATTCTTCAGATACTTAAGAAAAATCTCGATTTGTTAATACCGCAGGGGCAATTAATGACCAAACATATAATCCTAAGCACATCCAGGAAGATATAATTTTCACCCACATGGAAGCAACATTGGAATTCAAAGTATCCAGATTGGAATTTGGTCTGTAAAATAATTATTATTTAGATGTTTAGAACAAAAGATTACACAATTTTGTTCTAAAATAAATAATAAAATACTTACTTATACCAGTTTGTAAGTGTCATCATGACATATAAAGTAGCAAGAGCAAACATAAGATGGAAGAAACTCCAGTTGTAAGCTACCGACTCCTCTTCATTGTCCCAAACTTTTGCTTCGTTTCCAGCCTCAGAATCCGGGTTACGACCTTCTACCGGAGTATAATCTGGTTACATTTAGGAAAACGAGAAATAACTCAAAGAAAACATCTAACTACAGTGTTTTATCAATTTCTCAAATGTGCCTGTTAGGATTATTAGCATAGTAACATCACCAGGTACTATCACAAATATTTACAAAATGTTTAATAACCAATATTTTATAACATCATAATTATACTGAAATAAAAATTTCTAATGTTCATCGTAAAACACTAACTACTAATATTCGATAAATCAAAAGAAAGTATCAGAAAATGAAAAGCGAAAATATATAAAACAGGGAAAGCAGACACACGCTAATTACAAAGTAAACATATTATTTTTGCCAAAAACTATAAACTTTGGAAATATATCTTATATTTTTCGCAAAACCTATTATTTGGCGCGCAACAACTACTACATATACTATATCTATTAAAAATTAAAAATTAACTAATAAATTTACATGAACATGTAAAAATATAAAGTTTCATACATGTAGCATGGTGATAAATTTTTCAATGATAAAATAAAATAGAAAAGATAAAAATATCAAATTTAAAATCTATTTTAACGTAATAGTGTGTGCCTACCTCCGTTGTCTATAAGATTCTGGTCTTCTGTATTCCTAACTGTACAAAGAAAAAGTAATTAATTAAAAAGATTTTAATAAATTATTAATATACGTTTAAAAGTATAAACACATAATATTTCTAAAAAATATAAATAGTTAGAGTTAATTTAATTTACTTTAAGACTGTTTAATTTAAAGTACAGACAGCATCCAGTAACTATAAATTGCATATAGATTATATTTTTACATACCAGCTCCATTATCCTTAACCAGAACGTTCTCGGACATTGTAATCTTGGATGATTTGGATGCAGTACGTAAAGAACTGTACAATACACAGCTGAACCATATGATTAAACCAATGATACTTTCTTTATCAAAAGCAACACGATTTTGAGCATCAGGATCATTGCCAGAAATCAACTGTAGGAATCCAGGATTACATGTACGCTCTGTAAATAACAAAATATTTAATATCTAGAAATGCATATAAATATCATTAATGTAGATACATTAATTAAAGTGAATCATATACCTGGATTGTTTGAAATTCCACTCCAAGTTAGATAAACAACATATAATGAAACAATAGATGATTGCAGCAGGCCAGAACGTGGATAATGTTCTTGCACTATTGGAAGAATTGATATGGCACTAGTAATTACGCACAAGATCAGATTAAATGATATGAAAAATTTGTTCAATTCACAACTATCTGCCTACAATTGAAAAAGACAACAGATTTTAATAATGCTAACGTAACAACTACATTACGTTAAAAGATGACAGAATCTTACATGTGTAAAGTATACATAAAGCAATACAATTCCTGTGATAGAAACAGCATAGTTAAACAGTGTTGCTCCCAAAAGTGCAGCATACCTGTGTAATCCATTACATTATAGACATTTTATAATAAATTAAACAAAAAATGATGCTATACAGGACTATACATACCATCCTTTTGATTCAGTCTCTTCATAATTTCCTACCCAAGCATCTGCCCATGAATGGGCGAAATCAACTATAAGAATTAACTGAATAATAATAAAGAGAAAACCTCCTATCATTCCAAAATACATCCATGTTACTCCAAATGATGTTTCAGGAATAAAAAAGGCACCAATAATTCCACCAATTATTAAAAGATATTTAATAGCCCAGAACCTGGAATAGAAAATCACATAATAAAACTATTCTTCAAGAACATACAACACATAATAGTACAATCTATCATACCCATTTTGTATAGGAGCCCGAGGATCTTTAGAGCTTCTTACTCTGATCATTATTATTGACATCAAGAAGAAATAAAGAGCTATGATAAAACATATTCTATACACGGCTAAGTAGCCAACAGCAGATTTACAATCAACAGCAAATGTTGAAGGAATATAATTTGTACTATTGGAACAAAAAGGTACCTGCAATTATAATGCGAATAAAGAATATGTACATTTCTCAGAAATAATTTGATCCTGTGTTTCAAAGTACCTTTTTCAGGGCATCCTGTAAACCTGGAGCCAATGTAATACAAGCAGCAATAGTACCCAACATTAATAGTAGTGCATACATAATGCGAGTACTTGTACTATTACGGCAAGTTGGACATTGGGAACAACAGAAACTGCAGGCTGTGCTCCCACAAAGGCAGGCAAGCTGTATGACAAAACATACAAATTGATATAAATTATGTAATGGCTCATCCTGTATACTGAATAAATAAGCATTAATGATATTCAGAATCTCAGACCAACACTTGTTATTCATTCTTTGAATCTTTTAATAACTATTATCCAATAATCTTTCTTATCATAATATCTTCATATTTATAGTTTGGATAGTCATTCTCATCATTTTATTTTTTTTATTATTAATGTCTTTTATATGCATAATAAACTTTGAAAATATGTTACAATATTTAAAAAATATAAATTTGTATAAGGAAAATTTATTCAGCCTTTGAATATTTCAATAAAATTGTTTAAGTACAAACATTTGCATGTTAAAAGAATATTGATGTGTTTCTCTATAGTGCTTATAAATATAGCACAAGGTAATAATACAATTAAAGACATAATGAGATTTTTGCACTACAACCAAACTTTGGTTTAATACTGATTTATTAAAGAAAAAGTATAATGTCGAAATATAGTTTTTAAACCTAACGAATTAGATTTATGACAAAAATTCAAGTCGAAATTTGTATGTGAAATGTTTTTCGACTGCAACAAATTCAACATTATTTATTTACTCCTTTACCTGGGCCGTGGAACAAATGAGACCCATTGTGGTATTCTTCTTTAATCAGTTTATTGAATAATATAATAAGACGTACAATTTACACTATCATTAATTGCACCATATATTACAAAAGAACAAACAATACAATAACAATGGCGTCCTGACAGATAGTAAGCCAGGTAAACCACTTCTTGGTATCAGCTGACATATGCGCATATACTTTTATCATAGACAAAATATTAATGTAGATTTGTCTTTTATCAGAGTTTACATGAGTTCGGAGGCATATGAACAAAGCATAATGAACCAAATAAAGTAGATTTAGGACCGCATATGAGGAAACTGGGAAACCCTCGCCTCTCTTCGTCGCTCTGTAAAGAAAAGACAAAGACAGCAGCAATTTCATTGTCTAAGAATTTTGAGGCGAAAAAGCAACATCTTTTCATACTTTCTTTCTCAAAATATTCTTTACATGATTATACATGATGCTATAGAGTCCAATTTTGCGATCTGGCTTTTATAATTGTATAAAAAATGTATAAACATATATGTTTCAAAGACCTTTGAATTTAATCGATTTGCGCGGAATGCAAAAAAGTATGACTTTCCATAGAACGAATAATCGAACTTGACGATGTAAACACAATTTATAATCAATATACAACTACGAACGTTTGTTGTAATATTTTACATCAAAAAATTTAACAATTGAGCTGAATTTAAAAACTCATGTAATTGATAGTTTTAAAAATAACTTTAAAGTATTTATTTAAAACGAAATAAAATCGTTTGGGGTTTAAAGAAAAAAATTGATGAAATACTTGTTACAAGTGTTAATTAAAGCTTTGATTTTCATCTATTATAAATTATAATTTTTGTATAAAAATAAATCAGTAATCGCGATATTAAGTTACTTTTATAAAATTCATCTAATTCCATAAAAACATGAAGCAATTGCTGAGGTATTTCATAGATGATTACGTGTTTCAATATTTTTGGATTTCTTAAATTTCCTTGCATGCAATGTAATAACTGATTGGTTTTTAAACACGTTTGACCTCTGTAAAAGAAATTGGAACCATTGCAATTCAAGTTGGTTGAAATGTGACTAATAACTCGATATATGTATGAGGTCATCCAAAGCACGTTGATACTTCAACATTGTTGGAGGTGTAAGCGCAAATTATTAGCGGAACGAAGTTCGTTATAACACTTGCATATAACTTGAAATTTACACATAAAACTAATTTTAAGCTATAAATAACACGTGTACGCATTTATAATCTATTTTAAGAAATAAACTAATTTTAAATATTGCATAATCTACTGCCTATAATGTGATAGTTACTGCGTATATATATAAAATTTTTGTGCGTATTTTTGACTTTTAATACATGCTTCTAATTACTTGCTTATAAATGCTAATAGGTGCTTATAAACGAAAAACTTTGCTAATAACTTAAATTGTACAAATGTTACATTAAGATGTTAAATGTTGCTTAAACTAATTAATAACAACTTATTTAAATATAATTTTAAAGAATTTTTATAGTTTCGTTAAAGTTATTTTATACTTAATTTTATTTTGAATTACATCTTACTGAACATTTGTATTCACTTATATATAAATATTTAGAGGTAATTTTTATTTTATCAGCATAACATATTTGATATGATAACAGTTCATGATTATCAGATCAACTTGAAAAGCTATAATTATGATGTCAAATTATACTTCATGATTATCATGATTAATGTCATTCTTAAGCGTAATTTGTATCACTTATGAATAATAACAAGTATCTAGATAATTACAAATAAACTTAATAAATAATTGTTACTTTTATCGCTCTTTGTTTCGCTTCTTTGTTTTTTATCTACAAAATTTATTATATATTAAATATAATAATAAATCATTTATAAAGTAACTGGTAAAATGATTGTTTTAATTTTCTTTTTGCTATCTCATTTTTACATGATATTGTATTGCATTAAAAGATTTATATTGTTAAGGAAATTTTTCATGGATAAATGTACTATTTCTTTCACAGGCATGTTAAAAGGATAAATTAACTGAAAAACAAAGAATTTATTTTTATACATAACAAAAGTTATGTAAATTATTAGAAAACACAATAAGAAATAAAATATTGATAAATTATAACTTATTAATTATTTAATAAAATGGAAGACAAATGCGAAGATAGTAAGCGCCCTAAAATAAACTGGCCATATATGACCATAAGTTCATTGACCATATCATTTTTAACCAAGTTGGCAACTGCTGGTATTATTTGGGGATGGGGATATCTAAATTTAAATATGGCTTGGTTAATTGCACCAATTGCTTTGGCAGCATGGAAACAAGAACGTAGAAAAGATAATGAGTTAAGAGTAATTACTGCACAAGCCACTGTAATGGCCAAAGAAAAAGAATTAATAATTGATCGATTAAATGAACTACCTTCCTGGGTTTACTTTCCTGATTTTGATAGGGCTGAATGGTTGAATAAAGTATGACAATTTTATTGTTAAAGTTTTCCTTTATTCTTGCTGGTTTATTCTTGAATTTAATTTAATTTACTTTTTAAGGTTTTATATAAAGTCTGGCCAAGCATTAATCAATTTTCTCGTGAACTTTGTAAGCAAACTATAGAGCCTGCTATTGTTGAGAAACTGGCAGAGTATAAAGTAAAAGGGTTTCAATTTGAAAGATTAGTTTTGGGACGCATTGTAAGTTGATGTTGGTATTTAATTGTCAATTGGTATCTATATTATTATCATAATTATACATACAATAATTAATTTGTATTTGTATTTATAGCCCTTAAAAATTTATGGAATTAAAGCATATGATAAAAACACCTCAAGAAATGAAGTTATTATAGATGCTGACCTTATGTATGTGTTATTTATTTATATTAATATTTTCTGTTTTATTACATTTATTACTCCTAATATTTCTTTGATATTACCTTTTAATATTCTCCTAAATAATTTTATAGGTATGCAGGGGATTGTGATATTACGTTTTCTGTTGGAAATATAAAAGGTGGCATTAAAGATTTTCAGGTAACTACTGATGAATACAAGTACTATTATCATCTGTTATTTTATTACTTACATTTATTATTAATTTCTAGATACGTGGAATGATGAGAATAGTTTTGAAACCATTATTATCTGCAATGCCAATAGTTGGAGGTGTTCAAGCATTTTTCCTAAACCCCCCAGCTATTAACTTTAACCTGGTGGGAATAGCAGATGTTCTTGATTTACCCGGATTTAAGTAAGAATAACAATGTACTAAAAAATTAATATATGATTTTTCCAATTTATTAATAATTATTATTAATAACTTTTTACAGTGAGATTTTAAGGAAAACAATAGTTGAACAAATAGGAGCTTTTGTAGTATTACCAAATAAAATTGTTATCCCATTAAGCGACTCAGTACCAGTTGAATCATTAAAAATACCAGAGCCTGAAGTAAATAATATATTTATAAACATTCATAATTTTAAACATAAGCAAACATAAAATAATAAACTATTCTTCGTACAGGGCGTTTTAAGAATTCATGTAGTAGAAGCAAAGCATCTCATGAAGAAAGATATTGGAGTGTTGGGTAAAGGTAAATCCGATCCGTATGCTGTTATAAATGTTGGAGCACAAGAATTTAGAACAAAAACGATCGATAATACTGTAAATCCAAAATGGGATTTCTGGTGTGAGGTATGTACAGCCTACATTTACATGAAGTTAAATATTTACTGCACGATTTTGACTAAAATTTTTCATTCAAAGTCATACAAATTTTCAAGTATAACATTTTTTACATGGTAAGAAATAGTTTTTTAAATGTATGGAAACACAATTTAGTAAGTATTTATTACCTAAGAACATATACAATATCTTAAGACATTACATTGTTTTTTTTGATTTCGCAATTTAGCTTCATAATTTTATCATCATATTAGTCTTATTGTTTTTCTATGTTTATACACCACTTGTAGGATGTTGTCAGTCTAATATTGTAACGATTTAATATACTTCAATAAATGAGTGAATTGTTCTTTATTCTAGAAATGCATAATATTATTATATTACAATAGCTAGAGCTTTAATTCTATAGACTGGAAACATCTTAATTTATATTAATCTAATTCAGTTTCATAGTAAGTACGTATGTATGTATGTTACGTGTGATGTGTTATGTGGAACCAGTGTGCTGTGATGTCGGCCATTGCTCAACAAATTACTGTGCTGCTGTGGGACTATGATGATACTAAGGGTGATGAAAGTCTTGGAAGGTATGAAAATATAGTGTTTTACGTTTATTTTACAAAAGCTTTGTATTAAAGATAAAATGCATTACACAAATTTATTATCTTCTTTTATTTACTATGTCACTGTTTTATTCTAGTAAATATTTAAATGATTGGAACCTGATTTATATTAATATATTTGCTATTTAATTACACCCCACTTATTTTTATAATATATTTTTATTTATAATGCACATTAAAAATATTGCTATTATTTATGTAAAACAGAGGCATGTTTGTGTTGTGTTAATTTATGGTATTTGAACAGTTCAGAAGTTAAACGGTTAAAAATTACTTCTTTCAAGAAATTTTACTTTCTAAGAACATCATGTTGTTCAAAATTCAATGAACTTATTCATAATGATTAATTAATTTATAGCTTCTGAGTTGCTCTTAATATTAGATATGTGAGTGGTGTTTGAATGCATATTCATTGTATCATCAATCATTTAGTGCTTTATAATATATATATGACATTAAATTTATCATACATAATACTAGATGTTTTAGCACTGGAGTAAAATTATAACTAACTTGTTTCAACTCTTAATGGCTAAGTACTTAAAGGTTGTAGAGCATCTAACAAATACATAGCAGACCTTGGTTTAATCATCTTATTACACCAACGTTTCTTGTAATATTCTTTTGTATATAAAATTTGGTTATATAATCATACACGTCAAATATGGTAGTATCATTTTTCGATTAATCGATTACATATAAATGGAAGCAAATAAGCTCATAATAAATTTATTCATTCTTCACTATACATATTTGATCATTGGTCGCCAGGACGATACTGTTTCAAAAGGCATATTGAATGCAAATGCCTTCTCAACATAAATAGTCTCCACGAGGATCGGCTAAATTTTTTATTTTATAAGATACGAATTTAATTCATTACTCCTTAGGACGAGAATAAGATTACTGTGTAAATTTTAGATTTTATTTTACACACAATACGTTTACGTTTCTTGATAACATAGTATAACGTTTGAACGCGGAACGTTTTATAGTTGTAACTTAATTTTGAGGTAGTTTTGTTGCATTATAATTGATTACTAAACAGAAATGATAAATTCTAATTAGTATTATTGTATTACACGTTAACTTAGTATACTATGGATGTTGTATTAATGTGATTATTAGTAATGTGTAAAAATAATTTAAATTGCTAATAATGTGCTATATGTTTTGTAATTGTGTATATATATATATATTTTGGCTTTCAGTTGAATTTACTTTAATTATTTTTATTGCAATCAGAATTTATTTATCAGGACTATAACAAATGTAATAATTTTATTTTATTTTAACTATAAATTTTGTTATTTAAATTTTTAATCAGTTTAATAATTAATAATTAATTTAGCAAAAATATAGTTTTTGGTAGTAAATCTACCTACATTTACATGATTATAATATATATTTACTCAAGTTTCAGTTAATTTTATAACATATAGCAATGTAATAACCCTATAAATTGTTTTTTAAAAATAGAGCCATAAATTTATTATACTCAGGTATCCAAGTACTGGAGCTGGACATTATCTAAACACAAAATGTGTGTGTATGTTCTATTAGAATCTACATTCAGATAATCTTTTATCTAGATAATGATTAACTCCGGTATGTGGATACGCGGGAATCATACATTCGCGGCTCTTTTTAAAAACCAATTTGTTTGTTTCACATGAATGACTAATGTGATAAAAGAAACTAAACTAAATTATATGATAACAGTTTTTAATGGAAAAGAGCTTGGGAGCTTGCTACAACATGGTGCTTATCCACCTGTTTGACAAAGATAACGCTGGTCAAGATGATCCACTTGGCAGGTACTGCTGCTTCTAACAAGTATAATTATTCAGGCATAGAATGCATTTAGAAGCTCGTATAGAATGTAGAAACATTTCTAGTTTAGAAGAATGTTACTCCTTATTCTATGCTATAAGTTATGTATGCTCAGGTGTAGCATAGGCTTCTTTTGATTAAGAATAAGCGTAAGAGGAAAAGCTCCTTATTATTTGCCTTTGATTTTGGGAACATTTGGGAGGGAATTATCTAGGCTTTGCCAAAGTTCTTCTTAAGTTTTTCCTAGGACTCTAAGTCCTACCTAGGTTTTTCTGAGGTACTATATCATAGTTTCCTTCCAAGTTCTAGATCATAGAACCCAGGTACTCTTAGGCTTTCCCTATGTCTCTAAGTGATAGGCACTCAGCCTAAAGAAAACTTAGGACTTTTCGCATCTGGGAACCTAAACATTTGAAAACATAGAGATCTAAGGACTTAAAAATCTAGAAACCTGGGGATCTGAAGACCAAGAAATCTGGGAACCTAAGGATCTGGAGACCTAAGGAGACCTAAGAATTTGAGGATCTAGGAATTTAGAAACACAGGGATCTACAAAGTGAGATCTGACAATATAGGGATCTGAGGATCTGATTTACAAATCTAGAGGTTTGTAAATCTAGGGATTTGTAAACCTAGGAATCTGGAAACCCAGGAATCTTAGAACTTAGGATGCTGGGATGAATTAAGGAGAACTTAGGACTTAGTAACCTAAAGAAAGTCTAACCTAGCCACTTTTTCTCTTACGCTTTCTTCTAATTAAATAAAGCCAGCAAAGAGGCCCACGTTGTATCCGAGTATGCTATGCAGTATTTTCAAAAATAAAAATTATAATGCTACTATAGTGCATGTAAAGACGATTTTGCAAAAATATGAAAATATGTAGAGTATATATTGAAGATTAGGATATTTTGTTGTATATAGCATCTAGAAGAGGTTGGTGCATTTGGGGGTTTGTCTTTGTTGTTGTACTTGTTTCTCTAAAACAAATATTTTTATTTGATATATCTTTTCTTATTATAAAAAACAATGAAGATATTTAAAATTTAAAGCCTGGATGACTCACCTTATGTCATCATATTATTATATATTTGAGGAAGTTTTATTTGTATCATAAGAAGAATGCTACTTAAATGGCTATGAATATACATAATGTACATTAGATTATTTGCCTTGTTTTCGTTTTCAGAGGTTATTTACACAGGGTGTTTCAGATAGAATAGTAACTGATAGAAATCTGAAATAAACAAAATAATCATATTGGAGCATCTTGTACTCAAGAATTTTGCGCTAGCTTAAATTATAATAATAAAATGTTATGTTCTCTTTGACTTTGAATAATTATTAATTCTGCATTTCATCAAACTTAAACTCACATTTCAATTTTCTATTACCTGTCGGTCTTTGTAGCATCTACTAACACTAAAATATTGCTATAAACTAAATGGGCCTTGACTGGGATAAGATTTGTAAATACTATTTCTTTGAAATCTCAATTTTTATGGAAAAATAAAAAAATAATATTATCATAATTCAGGACTTAATTCAGGACATAATTCAGGGTTAAAAAACTTGTTTCTTTTTTCTGTTAAGCCTCGTACTGTATCCTTACACCCTTGTGATTCTTACTTCTTTGATCCTCATCATTCGGTATCAAACACTTTTCCTACGTTTGTATTTCAAGTTTTGTGACACTTACAATCATTGACATAATCCTAAATACAGTAGAGATTGGTTAAACGTTCACAGTTTGGACCATATCAAAACGCTTAGGATGATAGATGTTTTAATAATTCGAATGAACGAAAATGAAAGAACGAGCATGAGTGAAATGTTAATATTTGGCAAAAGAATACGTTTGATCCGCTCGCTATGCGCCCGCTTGCTATCGGCTTGCTCGCTATTGGTTCGCTCGCTAATGGTCCATTAATACTTACAAAATTTGAAATAATGTGTGGGTTGAACTTGCGTGATCAAATAAACATATTGTGGTTTCTCAATCCAATTTCGAGCATTTGTGAGAATAATGACAAATGATTAACCAGACTCTACTGCATCTGCATCTCTTGAGCATACTCACTCATCCACTCATGCTAGATATTCGCGTACTCTTCACTATACCATCACTATTATGTATGCTAATTTAAGTTGATCCATAATTCATAACATGTTCCATAGCTATTAAGATTATGACTGTAATGTCTTCATTTTTTCAATTGTATCAGAAATTAAAATGTCGGTGATGTCTCTAAATGTCTAATAAGTCGACGTTGTTTTCCCAAATAAAATTCTATAACTTTTATTTTCTGCCAAATGGTTAAATATTCCATATTTAATCTTTTAATTTTTTTTTAAACTTTAAATAGCTGGAATAAAAATGAACAAATGTAAGTTATAACAACTTTAAACTTGTGAGTGAATTATGGACCACCTTGCATTAATTTTATATTGTATGTTAAATAAGTTACAATATTAAACATACCATTATATTTTGTTTTATTAATATAGGGCTACAATTGAAGTCAGTAGAGTAAAGAAGAAAGGAAATATTGATACAGTAAGTACAAGTTATGAGATATAATTTTATATGTAATAATAAATTGTACTAATAATATTATCTTTGTAGTGGGTGTCATTAGAACAAGCTAAACATGGAATGGTTCATTTAAGATTAACATGGTTTCAACTTTCAAAAAATGTTGCTGATCTAAAAACTGTATGTATCTTCAGTATAATACTTTATGAGTATAAAACATTTTTGATTATTTCATCTCTTTAATTCACACAGGCTCTAATTGAAACACAAGAACTTCGTGTAACATCAATGAGTACAGCTCTTCTCATTCTTTATATTGATTCAGCTAAGAATTTACCAGTAAGTATAAACTTCATTAATTTGTAACAGTAAGTTAGCATTAGTCTTCCCTAAAGCTGTTTCCTCTGTGTCGGACAAATAATAATCAAAAAGTTACTATTATTTCATAATTAATCACAAATTGTAAGAGTTTCATTTGATCTCTTCTGTGCAGTTAAAACATTAATATGATGGGAGTTCGAAAATCATAATGAATAAATCAAATTAAATAAACTGTGCCATTTCAGTGTATTCGAGGAAGTAAACAACCAGATGTTTATCTTGAAGCAAGTGTTGGTGGAAGCACAAAAAGAACAGCTACCATGCTACGTTCTTGTGATCCAATATGGGAACAAGGTTTTACCTTTTTAGTTAGTAATCCAGAAACTGGAATTTTGCACATAAAGGTTAAACATATCTTCTAATATTTTATTTTTTTTCAGTATAAAAATTATATGTCTAATACATATCAAATTTTAGATTACAGATGAAAAAACTGGTCTTATAATAGGAGAAATGAGTTACAATATCTCGTTGCTTCTGAAAGAGAACAATCTAGAACTTTCACTGCAGCCTTTCGATTTGCAAATGGCTGAAGCGGACAGCAAATTAATACTTTCTATGTCATTAAATGTACATATGATTTTTTAAAATTATTTACATTTAGTGAAAAATAAAAATTAATAACCAAAATTATTTTATTACCAGATTTTAAAATATGAGGAACCTGAATCTACTCCAGAAGAAGATGATGATGATCATGACATTAATCAATTGAATAAAAGGATTGAACGCCAGGAATCGAATATTAGTAATATATCGTCTAGAACTGGTAAGTACATTATTACTTATGTGTATGTTTATGTTACAATATACTTAATATTTTGTTTAGTTCCACCTAGTCCACTGAAAAAACAACCTTCAAAAGAATCCGTCAATAGCGCAATGCATAGTACTGGATCAGATACAGCAGCTGGACTGGAAGATCAGGTTCTAGGAGAGGAGGAATTAATTGTCGCTGACGTTAATGCACCCCTTAATGAAAGTCCAAAGTTAACTCATAGAAATTCAGCTATTACATTATCTGCTGGTGAATCCAAGCTAGGTCGAATACAGTTATCATTACGTTACAGTGTACAAAGGCAAAAGCTCATCGTTGTAGTGCATAAAATAGCGTACGTAATCTATTGATGTAAAATTAGGTTTATAATCTATTAATCAAATGCTTTATCGTTACAGAAATTTACCTCTACCACAAAATGATGTACATAATATACCGGATCCGTATGTGAAGTTATACCTTCTTCCTGATCGCTATAAGGAAACTAAACGTAAAACAGCAGTAATGAAAGATAATTGTAACCCAGTGTTTGATGAACAATTCGAGTACATCGTTTCTCAAGCTGATCTGAATTCCCGCACATTAGAAGTGACTGTATGTACCCAAAAGGGCTGGTTATCGACTGGAAGCAACGTTATGGGCCAAGTACATTTAAATTTAAGCGAAATTGATGTCACAAAGTCGTTTACAAGTTGGTACGATTTGCAACCAGAGACTAAGGACTAGAAAATAAGGAAAGGCAAGTGGAAATTCGAGCAATTCTTTACGTGTTTTCGAAAACAGTCTGTTGAATTTCCACCGTGCGTTTCAAAGCGTTGATTGAACATTACGATCTGATGGGATAATACATGACAGATGCTTGAAGCTGAAGATACTTAAAAATGTTCCGAACTATTTGATACTTTAGTCAATACAAGTTGACAAAAGAAGGACAATGACATGTATCTTTTTGCACTTGGACCGTCCACTACTAAAAGAAAGTGCTTTTAGTAGTAAAATTTGATTTATGTATAACTTTATTTTTATTTTATACTATGTATACTTCTGAAATATTTTCAGTGATACCAAATGTCTACTTCACTATTAGTATTTAGTACGTGTTACATTTATGATCTGCACAATATCAAAATCGCTTTTGATAACATTTGAAGCATAATATACTGTGTAAAAATTTATTAACATTTTTAAAATGTTTAAAATTGTGAACTAAAATTTATTTTATTTTTATTACTAAAATGTTTTTTTTTATATTTGTTGCCATATTAATATTTATACATAAAATGCATTTATCTATGTTTAATGTTACACAGTGTTGATCACTTTACCGATAATATATATATGTAAGTTATTACATAAAAAAATCAAAGTAATATATACACATACATTATATTTGAACAAATTTTTGCTAATAGTATTACATAATACTTGTGTTTTGTGCCTACTGGTAAAATACTACCAGTATAATACTATAAACTGTTGATAGTAATAAATATATGCAATTTCAAACTGCGACTTTTCTGAATTATTTCTCTAATCAAGTCCATGGAATCATCTCCAAGGTAACAAAACAATATAGATGTAACTCATATTCTTACGTCAATATCTAACGTGCAAAGTTGTAAAGTATTTCGTTCTAAAGTTATTATTAATTTATTTGTGTTCACTTAGTGTAATACAGCTCTTACAAAATGCAACGTAATCCTTCACTTCCTTTTTTACCAGGATTTAATTTTGATACAAATGTAAGTCATTTTGTTTTCCCACAATTCACTGACATTTCACGATATATTAACCAATAAATATTTTCAAGTCACACATGAAGAGCTAATGTTTATGCCGTCTTATAATGTATATATGATATATAAATACAAGCTTAAATTGTATAATAAATTCAGGATATTCTGCGCTTCTAGCTTGGGCGAACAAAGTTCCATAGAAATCAGTATTTCGCGAAGATACACGATGGAGTTTATTATTTGTCCGAAAAATCAGATGTAGGAGATAATGTTCGCTATCCGTCTATTTATGCACGCGGAGAAGTTCTAGAATTGCCGTCTTGGATTACCTATGATGGCCAAGTATGACTCGAAAAATTAAGTAACTACTTTAAGAACCAAGAAAAGTTTGTACGAACTTAATATTGATCTAATAATACCAACAATGAGTATAAAATATACATGTGTTCAAAATATTAATAAATATATCATTGTTACTCTGAGTATCATTTTTATTTTTAAAAATATACTTTTTTAGAGATTGATGTTTAAAGCATACTTTCAAGAAACTGTTCAGGAAAGATGGAAGGCAGCTTACCAGATTCGGGTAGTAAATATTAGCTTCTTCTTGGAAGATGCAACAATGAAAATCTCTGAACCTCCTACTAGCAATAGCGGCCTTGAACAAGGTTCAACGACGTACCCTTTCCTTCAGTATTTATCATATTTTTTGTTATTATACATTTTTATAAAACATAATTATACTTATTATTTCTTTTATATATTATATTTCTCTTATTGTATTCAAATTTTTTATTTTGTCTGTTTTCATTTATGCTTTTAAGTATAAAAAACAATTTTTTATGTAGCAAAGAAGTACAGAATTATAATTATTGTTTAAGCCTCTTATTGTATTCAAATTTTTTATTTTGTCTTTCTTCATTTATGCTTTTAAGTATAAGACAATTTTGTATTTAACAAAAAGATAGAGGATCATAATTATTATATAATTAGTTTCTATGCATACAATATGAGGTTTAAATATAGAAAAAGGCGATAATTATGTTATTTGTAAATAACAAAGTTGCAAACGAATTTTAATGCATTTTTCAACGTAGAAATCATTTTATAATTGTTATTATTATAGCGGTAGTCTCTGTATTTGAGATTTTTTTTTTAATAGAAGTAGATGATTTTATTTAAATATATTTTTTATATAAATTAAATATTGAAACTTCGAACTTAAATAGGTGTTCTTGTAAAACGACAAAGAATCCCAATGCCTGATCCAGCGAGATTCAGATTTTATGATATCATTGATTTAAATATTGGCAAAGAACTGGAAATATTTGGGAGAGTTTACAAAGTTGTAGACTGTGATCAATTTACCAGGAGGTTTCTACAACGAATGGGAATACCAGTACCAGATCCCATCAATATACCAAAAGATCCATATTCGGAATTGCTAAAACGTGTAAGCGTATAATAATAATTGTTACTAAAATATTAAACAAAGATCATCACTGTATCTTTCATACGTGAAAGCTAAATAGTTTTCATTTATCTCAAATTATATTTATTCACTTACTTAAAATAATTTTTACATAGACCAATTTTTTCAATGATTTCTCATTTTCAAAATTGGTAAAATAGGAAACGTTTCCGAAGAAACCTAATCGAAGAATTGACACCCGCGGCGATTTTTTAAAATATGATAGACAAGTACTTCGATTTTACGGTTACTGGGATGATACGATAAATCTTTATGGTCTCGTTCACGATCTCGAGATTTATTATTATCTCGCTGATGACACAATGCAAATTAAAGAGAATGTGCCACCAAATTCTGGACGAGATTCAGGTTTCATGTTTCTGCGACGAATGAAGGTTCCCAAAGTAAGATATTAATTTCTTTTTTCGAAATATCGATTTGATTCGCCAATATAAAGCACATGTTCAGTTTATATTTCGAAACTACTTTTTTAAATGATATGTGAAGGAGGGTTGGCGTAATTAAATTATCGTATTGTTTATTAAAATTGTTTAGTTAACCAGTTAACTGTGGCGATCTTTTTGCAAAGCGCGCACCAGTGTGTGTCGCGATAATCAAGCGATGACGAGTTAGCTTTCAAGAATTTATGAATTCATCTCAAATCATTTACACTTTTTATTTGTTTATTTCATTTCATGTTGACCTCTAAACATTTTAAACATATTACAATTTACGAATATAATTTAGTTTTCGCCAAAATTACAATTTAAATATCAAATTGTAACAAAATTTTACGCATGACGGATATAGTCGTCATGACACAAAATTCTGCCACATCTGCATGACGGATATAGTCGTCAAACACACTTAACTGGTTAATATAAATTCGACAACCTTCCTATATATTTTATTTTACAATGTTTTCTAACTTATGTAATTAATAAATAGACTTCTGAATATAGTTTTACGTTGAACTCGCACCAATTGGAGAACAAGATCCTTTTACTGTTCTAAATGTTATGGGAGAAGATGCACAGAATGCTTTTTACACAGTAGATCCTTTGTATCCGAAGAAAAAAGGCAAGGAATTTTATAAAGATAATGAACTCAGCATCGGTGCTGAAATAAACGTTTTTGGAAGGAAGATTGTTATAACGGATATGGACGCTTTTACGAAGGAATATTACAGGTAAAATTCAATTTGGGTATTCGCAATATTCTGAGTTTTTAAGTTTCTAGATTTCTAATGTTTTTAAATTTTTAAATTTCTGAATTACTGGATTAGTGAATTCCTAATTTTTCGAATTCTTAGATTAGCGAAATTCTAATTTTTCGAATTCTCAGATTTTTGAATTCTTAAATTTCTAGATTCTAGATTATCGAATTCCTAAATTCCCGAATTCCATGATTTCCGGTTTCCTAAATTACCGAATTCCTAATATTCCCGAATTCCTAAAGTACCGAATTCCTAAATTCCCGAATTCCTAATTTCCCAAATTCTTAATTTCTCGAATTCCTAATTTCCCGAATTCCTAAATTACCGAATTCCTAATTTCCCGAATTCCTAAATTACCTAATTCCTAAATTACCGAATTCCTAAATTACCGAATTCCTAAATTACCTAATTCCTAAATTACAGAATTCCTAATTTCCCGAATTCCTAATTTTCCGAATTCCTAAATTACCGAATTCCTAATTTCTCGAATTCCTAATTTCCCGAATTCCTAAATTACCGAATATCTAATTTCCCGAAATCTAGAATTCCCGAATTCTTAATTTCCTGAATTACTAAATTCCCAAATTTCTAAATTCCCGAATTCCTAAATTCACGAATTTTTAATTTCCCGAATTCCGAAATTCCCGAATACTTAAATTCTTAAATACCTAAATTTTAAAATTCTAAAATACATATATTCCCTTTAAAAAATTAATAATAAAAAATTCTCAAAATCTTGAATTTCCAAGTTCCCACATGTGTACATTTCCAAATTCGTATACTTCCAAATTATCAAACTTCTAAATCCCCAAATACCCAAATTTCTGATTTAACATTTGAAAACCTTCAAACTTTCACATTCCAAGATATCCAAAATCTCAGATTCACTTCCTAAACCCAGGTTTTTCATAAAAACATGAATTATCATTTCCAAAATTTATTTCATTTTATTCTATTCAGAAACTTATATATTAATTTCATTATACAGAGTGTTTCACAACTCGTGATTGGTCCGTGTTTTTGCTTAATAATTCAAAAACGAAACTTCAAACCCTATTTTTGCAAAGGGAAATTTTATTCAAAATTGTGTCCTCTACCACCCCTTTCCTGGATTTACACGAGTTGTGAGACACCCTGTACACAACTTTAATTGAACATGTTAATCATTATTTTAATGTTTCACACTCATTTTCTTTAATATCAAAGGAAAAAGTATGGTTTGAACGATTTTACGCCTTTGGAGAGACCTCCAACGAATGGCGAAGTTGGTATGGAAGTAAAAAAGTATATTCCACCGTACAATGGCTATGGATCATATGAAGATTCTCTCGGAAATTGTTTCAGTGTATTACCGAAACCGCCTAAAACAGATATGATTAAATTTTTATACTACGACAAGTATGCTTACTATGAAATGCAATTATTTTTTCCGGTTAGAATATTGTGATCATTCGATCGGTTTATTTTTAGGCAAGGTTTCGATAGCTACGTTTTGAGATTCAGAGCGAAATTAATATCGAACATACCGGAAAATGAAGATCGATTGTTCATTATCAGAGTTTTTTTAATGGACGACGCTATTTCTATTTTTGAACTGGCGAGAAGAAATTCAGGTGACAATTCTTTCCACTTTTTTACGCTCTCAAAAATATTTCTTTTGAAAAAAGTTTGAAAAAAAGTATTTTTGTATTTTTGACTCTTTGTAGTCAGATACTCTTATTAACATTTTTAATAAGTGCAATGGGGCAAGAGCAGAATTATTAACAAATCTGCTATAAAATGCTTTTTACTGCATTATGCAAGTACTATATACTGCAAACGAGTACTCTTAGCTGAAATATAAAAGGGGATATAGCGAAACAAAACAAGGAAACAAACATACTAAATGGAGAAATTTCGTTCATACTGTAATAAAAATAGCCTGTATACGCACTTGCCCCGTTACGAATTTACTCCACTTCGCCTTATATATTTTTTTATTGTAATTGGGATTGAAATCTTTTTATTTTCATTGTAATAAAAAATTGTGCACGTTGGTTCAAGGTGCACAAATAATAAAATATGAAAACGTTGGTTCATCGTATAGAAATGTTTATGTATATTAAAAACTGTATTAAAAAATGACGAGAATTAAAAAAATTTTTATTGATGAAATTTTCATTAATTAATGTTCTGATATTATTTGCAGGTTTTAAACGGTGTCTGTTTCAGAAGAAAATGCGTGTAATGTTACCGAATCAAGAGATATTTGCAAGCGAAGAACCGAAATATTACAAACCAGAAGATTTCTATATCGGCGCACGTGTAAACTTGAATGGTTTTATTTTCGAAATGACCACCGCCGATATTTATGCTCTTCGCTACATGGAATTGAATTGCGATAAGGTGTTATACATCGCTTAACTTCTTATTAAAATGCAATTTCTTACATCTGAAAAATATAAATTAATTTTATCTTCTATTGTTCAGTTTCCAAAAGCTAATGCTAAATTAATTATGGAAAAATTACGAGAAATCTTAAGACCAGTTTATAAAGAGTTTGTACAACAATACGTACCTACGGAAAAGGGCGAAGGAGATTATCAAGTACTACCTTACGAAAATTTGAGGTACTTTAACGAATTTGGTTTTGGTAATTTATTGTTAATAATAACAATATATCGAAAAAGTTTTGATAAATTGTCTATTTGAATTTTAGAAAAGCTATACATCAATATGCAGATGGAAAAATAACAGAACATGAAATAATTACGATTGCACGACACTTTACTTCTTACGATAAAAAAGAATTCTTTAATCGAGAATACATAAGGTAATTTTAATAAACATCATTATTTTAAGTAGCACGATTTTTTAAATAAGTTTCATAATTTAATAAATTATAAATACATAATGCTGTGATCTTTGCAGGAGAATAATACATACAGAAATTTTACGACATTTGTGGATCGATTTTGATCGTCTGGAAGAAGATTTGCATCATTGGGATAGAAAAAGGTCGGGATTTTTACCTCGCAATACGGTTTTTACTGCACTTCGTGGAGCTAGAGTCCCACTGGATGTTGAACTTATAAATGCCGTGCTCGACTGGTATGTAAATACTAATTTAATAGTTAGTTTAATAATTAGTTTAATGAGTAGATTAATAACAAGTTTAATAACAAGTTTAATACTTGTTATAAATATTTTAAATTATACAAATAAAGTTGACGGAAGTGTGATTTTTCACAAGTTAAAATAAAAATATTAATTCTTACCTCTTCTCACCTTAAAAGAGACACAAGTAATTTTAGCAACTGTATTCAGTGGTATACTATACTAAATTAAATTAAATTAAATTATCAACAGAACTAATAAAATTAAAATATGAATTCAAACAATGTATTACAAGTTACCATTTACTTTACATTATGAGATTAATTGGTTAACGAATAAACTTTGATATTTATTCACTGAATGAAATCAATAATTAAACAAAGATACTCTCAATCGTTATCGCCCTCGCTATTTTTCTTTCTGTAAATGAATAAAACTAAATAATGTTCTAATATTATGATCGTGGTTCAGAAATAGTGTTTTAAGAATAATTAATTAGTGTTCAACTGTCGATGTTTCGAATGTTACTAAATTTCTTATTAAGATTATATTTTGTTATATATGAATAAAGAATAAGATTAATAATTAATAATAATGCAGTGTCCACAAAAAAGAGGATGGAGAAGTTGATTACATTGACTTACTGACACTTATGAACACAAAAATCAATCCTGCTCCTCCGGTAGTACCAACAAATATCAAGGTACGTATTTTCATTGCTATAATAATTACCTTTTACGCTATACTTAATTTCTTGAACTTAGAAGTGTAATAATTTTAAAAAGAAATGTTTTAATTTTTATACCATTGTTTATTATCATCGAAGAATCAAGACTTCATTATCATCTTGTAGAAGATTATACAGGATGTTACCTGTAACGCTACTCGCAATTTTTCTCCCACTTGCCACTTTATGAAAAAAAGTTTAGGGCAATATTTGAAGGATATGAAGTGCAAATAGATATTAGTAAAGCAAATTTTGAAAACAGTTTGTTCTCTTGGCAAAGTCAAGGTCGCCTTGGATTTTGTAACTAGGAACATACATTTTTTTTATTCATAACATTAGAGGACATCGAGACGAATTCAAACCACATATTACATGATATTTTTATTAACATATTACTTGATTTATAGAAGTGGAAATGTGAAGTAAAAGACCGGAATATTACGTGATGGAAGACGGCATGTATTTTGAACATGTAATTAAATAAAGTGTATTTTTCTTACATTCTAGTCGCGGGTTTACATTCAGTAATCTCTTCGGAATCAAATAATGGTTACTCTACCAAAGTCAAAAGCTAAGTACTTCACATTTCCTCTTCTGTAAATCAAGTAATATGTTAATAAAAATATCATGTAATATGTGTTTTGAATTCGTCTCAATGTCCTCTAAAGCTTTGAATAAAAGAAATGTATATTCCTATTTAAAAAACCCAAGGTGACCTTGGCTTTGCCAGGAGAACAAACTGTTTTCAAAATTTACTTTACTAATATCTATTGTGCACTTCACACCCTGCAAACATTGTTTTAAATCTTTTTTCGTAAGGTGGCTGCGAGTGGAAGAAAAATTGTGAGTAGCGTTACAGGTAATCCTTTATAACAATATTTTTTAATACAAAATCAAATTTGTTTTAGGCGGAATTTTGGTGGGCGTCGGAAAAAGAACCGGATGCCCTAGTTGCCATAAATTGTTGTGCCTTCCTGAAAGAATTAAACATCAAAGACGAAGAAAAAGAAGAAATTATGAAATCTCCCGATACGGAGATATCTGACACTGCGTGTAAGAAATTTATAAAATAAATTGCCAAAACAATTTTTATTTTAAATTACGAGAATATATCAAACACATAAACAGCCGATGCAGAATGAATAGTAATTTGATAAAAATGATATTTATTAAAAATTGCATGTAATTTCTATAATCCTGAAACTTGGATTATTGGGGTAATAAATTTATGCTTCTGTATGCTATGTCCTGTTTATTATAGAATATAATTTTTAATATAAACTACGCAAGTTTAGCGAATTATTTACATTTCACTGTTTATGTCTAGGTCCAATATACGGCTAAGACAGTGTTGTCTCTATAATGTTTTAATATTTCGGAAAATGTTAATCGACAACACTGTGCTATATTCACAACATATCAAGGACACGAAATTCAATAAATAGTAGAGCAGATAAATAAGAATTCTACGAATATTTTATTCTAATTCATGAGGTCAACATTCACGCTTCTTTTTAAGGAATTGAGGAACACTTCAACTATCGCTTGACTTTTCGATCGTTAGAATTTCTCATGTTCTTAATTTGAGTCTTCAACTTTGAGCAAATTGAAAAATTTTAAATATATCGCATTTAAAAATGTTTAGATTTCTAAATGTAATGGACTTTTGAATTTCTAAACTTTTCAGTTTGTACGTTTTCGGATTTCTACATATTTTAATTTTTAAACTTTTTAAATTATTAAATTTGTAAATTTATGTTACTAAATTTGAAAATTTTCGAATTAAACAAATACTTGAATTCTAAAATTTCCAGATTCTCAATTTTTTAAATTCCAAATTTTCTAATTTTTAAATTTCTCCAATTTCAAATTTCCCAAATTCTAAATTTCCTAAATTCCAATTTTCCCAAATTCTAAATGTCACAAATTCCAAATTTCCCGAATTCTAAATTTTTCACATTCCAAACTTCCTAAATTCCAAATATCCCGAATTCCAAAATTCTCACATTCCAAACTTCCCAAATTCCAAATTTCCTAATTTACCAATTCTCCAAATTCTCAAAGTTTCAAATTCTGAATTCCTTAAATTCCTATCTTCTCAATTTCCCAATTTCCGAATTCCCATATTTTCAAATTCCAAAATCGCGAAATCCCAACATTTCCAAATATCTTAAATAGCAAAACAAATTTAAAATATCCAACTTTTTCCGCTACATATTAAACAACATCATCAAATAAAACATATTACAATAAAAATAATTAAAAATCGTCAAAATAATCAAGTAAATTTGTCTAGAAAATTTCTGCTTTTTGGAATAACCATTCAATAAATATGACGTTCTCCAAAAAAATAATAACGATCGAAATGTCAAAAGAAAGTTTAAATTATTTGGGCAGTGTAACTTTTAACGCATTATTCATAATTTTTTATATAATTACGACGATCTCTAAGAACAATTAAAACTAGACGTACATTTTTCAAATAAAATGATTTACCGATCGTTTATACATAATGAATGACTTAATGAATTTCTTATTTTAGATACACTACCGTTCAAAAATATCCGGATACTTGCTTTCGTTACGCAAAACATAATTGAACTTTGTACGAAAGGTATTTAGGGCTATTATATCATTTGTAATAATTATTATTATGTTTTTTGAGGTATCATAACATAATAGAATTAACTTTTAAGTACAAATTATACAATGAAAGTGTGAAAGTAAAATTCATGTCCAGAAGTACAAAGTCCAAATTTGTGAATCTAATGAAACGCTTTCGATTCTAAAAAAAATTTTAATTTCTACTTTGTTTCATTTCTAGGATGCAGAACGTATTCAGAAAGTTCTTCGATATGTTTCGAGTATTTGTAAACTGTTGATAGACGTTTAGATTCCCTCGATGGAAATAATAATGGAGGTAATGCTATACACTCGACAGTTTTGGTTTAGTTCGTCGAATTATCAATCGAAAAACGTTCCAGTATTCTGACCCTTGCAGAAAAAAAATCGATGTTAGTTACTGTTGCAGATACGTAAATAACTTTTATGCAACGCGAATATATATTTCGCTTGTGTTCGGATACTTTTGAATGGTAGTGTATATTCGATGAGATTTTTTCTCGTGGTATTTAAAATCTTCCAATTTCACTTGCACTCGTACGTTTTTATGACTTTTCTGCATGTCTTGCATTTTACATAGCAACAGCTAATATACTTGCAGTCACATCTTTCTAGAACCTCTTCTGTTTTAGTTGTGTGACCTCGACCACAGCAGAGATATTCGCAACCTTCGTAACCCGTACTGCTGCCATTACATTGTCTGCAAAAAACACAAATAATTTTTTTTAATATCGTAATGTGTTAGGTTCTTGATGTGTTAGATTGAAATTTAAAAATTTATAAGTTAAATGAAAAATCGGGTTTCTTGATAAGGTAGAATTTTATTTTTTGAAATGGTGGATTGTTTCTAAAAATAATAATAATATAATATGAAATAAATTGCAGATATTACATGACGACGATGAATTTTGTCACAAAAAATGAAAACACGTTTACATGTTTGAAGGATTTTTATGAATTCTCACATTTTTAATTTTTTAATTTTCACATTTACAAACTTTTAATTACTCAAATTTAAAAAATATTAATGTGTTATTAGTTTTGTAAACTTTCTGATTTATTAAGTGACCTTCAAGCTTCTTTTATTAATTTACAAATCTACACATTTTTTAACTACCAAATTTTTAGTCAACAGTTTTTCATTTTTACATTTACAAGTTTTTAAAGTTTCAAATTTAGAGACTCAACAATTTTCAAATTTATTCACAATTTCTTAAATTTAGATATTCATAAATTTTCAAATTTATAAATGTACATATTTCTACATATACATGTTGTATACATAGTATGTATGTATACTATGTACATTTTTTTTCTTTTTATTTCATGAGTAAAATTGAAAAATTGTCAAAGTGAATTTTTTCATTTTACCAAGATGTCCATTATGATTTTGCAAAATTTACTTCTGTTATTTTCTATAACAATTAATTTGAAATCTTTGTTAAGTACTTGAAAATAGATGAAGTCAATATAATTGTTTATTTAATTATTCAATACATATAATTGAGTATTTAAAGAAATAAAACTATTTCCTTTTAGAATTTCTTACAAATTGAACATAAGTTAAAGCGCTAAATAAAATCAATTTACCTGCCAACAGTTCCGAGACTTCCTCTCTTTTTATCGGGAAGACAGTAATCGGGGCTTTTAGTGGTATATAATAGATTATCGTGGTGATATAGTGGTGGTAACCTTCCACCTGATCTTGGTCTAACTTCTGCCGCTGTCGCGTATCTTCGGAGTAGACGACTTCCGGCGGCAACAGGTCCCGAAGAACCGAGTCCTCTCCAACAGGTTCGCACGCTACACGATCCAGAAACTCCGTGGCATTTGCATTCCAACGTTAAGGACTGTTCTACTGCCTTATAGTAACAGCATCCATTAAAGTTAAATACAGATGTCAACCCACGAGTTAGCGTTTGAGGTCGACCCAAAGTAAAAGAAGCCCACAAAAAGAAATCATAACTATTAACAAAATAATACTATTTTAATTATTGTATACTAACAAAACATTGTAATTACCCTCCGACCAGCACGGTTGTTGTGCATATTAACGGCGTGCATAAATTTCGCAGTGACGCCTGTACCAGGAGGAGTAGCACCCTGAAGAAATCTCTTGGCTATCCGGGACGCGGATCTAACGTCGTCTCCGCAACCTCCCCATTTAAAGGAGTTCCTAGCCGATGGAGGTCCAAAAGAAACCGACGTGGCGGTAAAAGAGGAAGGTGAAATCAATGCAGACGGCGAAGGTGGTTCTCTTCGTGGTGGAGTTGCACACGAACAAGCCGCGAGATTACCCAAAGCACATCCTCTTGCGAGCCTCCAAACTGCTGCTGCAGCCGACATTGCGTAAACGAACGCCTGTTCTCTGGTACCTATTTTACAGAAACATCTCAGATTTTATTAACCAGTTAACTGTGGCGATCTTTTTGTAAAGCGCGCACCGGTGTGCGTCGTGGTAATCAAGTGATGACGAGTTAGTTCTCAAGAATTTATGAATCCATCTCAAATCATTTACACTTTTTATTTGTTTATTTCATTTCGTGTTGACCTTTAAACATTTTAAACATATTACAATTTACGAATATAATTTAGTTTTCGACAAAATTACAATTTAAATATCAAATTGTAATAAAATTTTACGCATGATGGATATAGTCGTCATGACGCAAAATTCTGCCACATCTCCATGACGGATATAGTTGTCCAACACACTTAACTAGTTAATTTATAATTTCAGCAAATTGAGATAACGTAAGTCATAGCACTATACGTAAAATGGTATCCCTTAATGGTAATATTTCTATTACCATTAATATTTATATTATCGTTTAGTCAGTCATTTACAAAAACATCTTACATTTTATAAATTTATAATTTCAGCAAATTGAAATAACATAAGTTATAGCTCTATACGTAAAATGGTATTCCTTAATGGTAATATTACTTTTAAAATTTATTTTACTATTTAGTTACTTTTTAAAGGATTAAATATGATATGCGCAGTTGTTAACGGTGCATAATAATCATACGCAGTAAAGTTCTTACTCTTTATATTAACATATTCATCGTATAAACTTTACTGCGCATATTTAGTATTCTTCGCTGTTTACCTTAATTCATCAAATTTTCAAATTACCATATTCCTAAATTCCTAAATTTCAATATTCCCAAAAACAAAATTTTCATACTTGTAAATTTGCAGTTTCCCAAATTCCCAAATTTCCAAATTCACAAACTCCCAAATACCAAATTCCAAATTTCTCCAATTCCTCAAATTCCTCAAATTCCTCAAATTCCTCAAATTCCTCAAATTCCTCAAATTCCAAATTCCTCAAATATTCCTCAAATTCCTCAAATTCCTCAAATTCCTCAAATTCCTCAAATTCCTCAAATTCCTCAAATTCCTCAAATTCCTCAAATTCCTCAAATTCCTCAAATTCCTCAAATTCCTCAAATTCCTCAAATTCCTCAAATTCCTCAAATTCCTCAAATTCCTCAAATTCCTCAAATTCCTCCAAAATTCTAAATTCCCCAAATTCCCTAAATTCCAAATTCCTCAAATTCCAAATTCCAAATTCCAAATTCCAAACAAATTCCAAATTCCTCAAATTCCAAATTCCTCAAATTCCAAATTCCTCAAATTCCAAATTCCTCAAATTCCAAATTCCTCAAATTCAAATTTCAAATTTCCAAAATTCTAAATTCCCCAAATTCCCTAAATTCCAAATGTTCCAAATTCCAAATTCCAAATTCCCCAAGTTCCAAATTCCCCAAATTCCAAATTCCCCAAATTCCAAATTCCCCAAATTCCAAACTTCCCACATTCCAAATTTCCCAAATTCCAAATTCCAAATTCCCCAAATTCTCCAAATTCTCCAAATTCCAAATTCCCCAAATTCCAAATTCTCCAAATTTCAAATTTCCAAAATTCCAAATTCCCCAAATTCCCTAAATTCCAAATGCCCCAAATTCCAAATTCCCCAAGTTCCAAATTCTTCATATTCCAAATTCCCCAAATTTGAAATTTTTGCAGTAAAGTTATTACCCTTTATCTTAACATATTCATCGTATAATCTTCACTGTGCACATTTAGTATTCTTCGCTGCTTACTGCGCATGTGTTACTTAAAGTAACCTTGAATAATTTTTCATAATAATTTTAAAGATTAAATAAAGATAAATAAAGGGTAATGACATTTATACTTGCTACTAAAAATGACTCTAACAATGTTCTTAAATAACTAAACGAAAATAATGCACAGCATTTTTAAACACGAAAAGAATATATATTTCATAACGTGATATTTGGCGGGAATATTTGAAAACATGTTTATTTTTTTATTTGTTCAATAGTTGAACAGAGAATTCGTTAATAGAAAATTAATAACATTCGAATATTTGAACTTTCATAAATTCGTTAAAAAATTCTGTTTATTTAAATTCAACAATTTACGGTTTGTTAAGCCGGTACGTAGTATATCTTTCGTAATGACGTTCCCGTCACATCCAAAATAAATAATTACTCATTTACGATATTTCGGGATACACGGAATTACGCCCTATTAAAATTTTAGGTGTTGGAAGGACCATAAATTTGGCCATTTTCTACCGTCCTCTTCTCGGATGTCGGCAATTAATGAGGTAGAAGGGCGTATCTGTGCAGCGTTTTCAAATGAAATTGGTAATAACCAGTTCGCGGTACCTTTTAGAGATACTACATTCACGGTCTCTTCTCTGTTCGTGGCCGGCTCGAAATAATTGAAGGAAAGCTGATTAGCATACCGATATATCACGGATCGAATAGGGGGGCCTTTTGAGTCCTTGAATATATATTAAGCAACTATGTTTTTCATTAGCAGCGAAACCCAACGCGGGCTTCTCAGTTTTCTCATTAACGAAAGATTTTGCTTGAGAACACTTTCATTTATAATGTAATTATCGTTAAATGCGAACAGAGGTAGGGGGTGGATGTAGGCAGAAAGGACGGAATTATTGATTTGATAATGACCACTAATTGGCTGTCTCTTTGAAGTCTTTCTATTCATCGTACCAACTTTTCGTTTTCTTCATTTTTTTACCAATTGCCACCATAATCTTTGTACTGTATAGAGTATGAATAAATGGAATTTGTTCGTGGGTGGTTGTAATTAATTGTACCAAGTTATGAAATGTTTCGTGATTTTTTATATTATGCAATAACATTTAACATTTAGGTAATTTTGATATTGTATAGGGGTTGTAGACAATTTGCTTGGAATATTATTTAACGATTTTTAGAAAATTAAGCTTGAAGAAATAGGAGAATTTTGGTGTAAAAGAATTAGTATTTAATGATAATTTAGCTGTTAACTAGAATTTTTGGGGTGGCTCTTTAATACTGTTAATGTTTCACACCAGGGATGATTTAGTGGCCTTTGGAAATTTGGGATTTTTAGGGATTTGAAGTTTTGGAAATTTTGGGAATCGGAAATTCAGAATTTGGGGATTTGGAGATTTGGGGAAGTTTGAATTTGGGAAATTTGGAATTTGGGGAATTTGGGATTTGGGGAATTTGGGATTTGGGGAATTTGGGATTTGGGGAATTTGGGATTTGGGGAATTTGGGATTTGGGGAATTTGGGATTTGGGGACGGGAATTTGGAATTTGGGGAAATTGGGGAATTTGGAATTTGGGAAATTTGGAATTTGGAATTTGGGAAATTTGGAGAAATTGGGGAATTTGGAATTTGGGAAATTTGGAATTTCGGGAATTTGGAATTTGGGGAAATTGGGGAATTTGGAATTTGGGAAATTTGGAATTTCGGGAATTTGGAATTTGGGGAAATTGGGGAATTTGGAATTTGGGAAATTTGGAATTTCGGGAATTTGGAATTTGGGGAAATTGGGGAATTTGGAATTTGGGAAATTTGGAATTTCGGGAATTTGGAATTTGGGGAAATTGGGGAATTTGGAATTTGGGAAATTTGGAATTTCGGGAATTTGGGATTTGGAGATTTGGAGATTTGAGGAATTCGGGGAATTTGGAGATGTGGAGATGTGGAGTTTTGGAAATTTGAAAAATTCAAAAATTCAAAAATTCAAAAATTCAAAAATTCAAAAATTCAAAAATTGGAAACTTGAAAATCGGAAATTTATAAATTAGAAAACTTGGGAATTCAGAAATCTATAAATTTGGAGATTTGAAAATTCGAAAATGTAGAAATCACAATATCTGCGAATTTGGATTCTAAAATTTGAAAATTGGGGAAATAAATTATTATTTTAGAAATTTTATGACATCATAATTCAGGAAACTAGGAATTTTTAAACGTAAGGATTTCAAGACTTGGCAATTATACTTTATTATAAATTACACACATGCAATAACATTACATAAAAATGAATACTAACAATACATGACAGTTTTCCACATAAAAAACGAAATTCCTATTTAGGAATATTATTTAAAAAAAATTTACTGAGATAATTAAATTTTAAAAGTTATGACAGAAAATATTCTTCCCTGACGTGAATTATTAAAACTATTAATTTGTTACTTATGAACACTTATTTTGTTTTATATGACTTATCCACTTCAGAATCACATCTTCATATCCAAAGTTCAATTAACTTCTCAAAATTTATTAGCGAATTAATATCTCTTCTGCAATAAAACCATACAAGAGTAAAGATAAAACTTCTGAAAAGATAAATTCGACTTGTTCCGTTAAATGGATGTTGCAATTTACATGTAGTTATAGACTCCCAGGCTATAAGGAAGCCATTTTTGACGCGGAGTATCATACGTTAACAAATTTAATGGCGAAAATGTACATGTTTGTGTTAGTATGCTTTCTCTGATAAATCAGTTCGCATATTAGCGGTACAAGTATATTACGTAGGAGTTGATATGTCATTCTCTACCCGTGTCGAATCATTATTTCTATTTACAACCATAATCTTGAATGTATGGAACATTTTAATATCTTCATTTACTTGTACGTAAATTTGATAAAAATTAGTTCTTTGAAAATTGGTAAATATATTTAATAATCTAAAATTTCTATATTTCTAAATAAATTTGAAAACTAAAAATGAAATTTGAAGACATATTCAGATTTTATTTCAAAAATTTTGCTATTCTTGTATAACACGTCACTAAATAGATGAAAAAAAATCGCAATATAAATTTATGAAATGTTAACATTAAACCTACCAGCGTATTTACACTTCGTTTGAAATTAATAATGAAATTGAAAAATAAATAAACAACAAAACATGAATTACTATACTCGTTCTTCTATACTTCCTTATTTCCATGAAAATCAACATTTCAAGAAAATTACTTAAATTGTGTAACTTATAATAAGAAACTTGTAAACCACTTATTTGGCTGGTTTAGTAATTTTGATGTTGAAAATATGATTCATAAAATACTATTTTTAAAGAAAAACACAGAGAACAATGTTTTTTAAATTACTTTTAAAAAATTCAACTTGTATAGTAAACAAATAATATTTTTGTTAAAGAACAAATGACCAATGTGTACCGATGTCAACCCAATAGTTGGCACGCGAAGAGGCAGGCGCAGGTGTTTACATGCGTTGTGTCTTCAATTGGTCAGAATAGAAAAATCTTTACATTCCCAAATCCCTATATTCCTAAATTCTTACATATCCAAATTTTTGCAGTTGTAAATCGCTGTATACTCAAATTTCTAAGTCCTCAAATTGGTGTATTTCTAAATTGGTACATTCTCAAATCGGTACATTTTCAAAACGGTGCATTGCTAAATTGGTACAATTCCAAATCGCTACATCCTCAAATTCCTTCATTCCCAAATTTCTACATTTCCGAATCTCTCCATTCTTAAATTTTTACACACCTAAATCGGTATATCCACAAATTTTTACATCCGCGAATCGGTAATTCCCCAAATCACTACGTCCCCAAGTTCCTACATTACCATTGGTAGATTTCCAAATTGCTATGTTCCTAAATCGCTATATCCACAAATTTCTACATCCCTAAATCGGTATATCCCAAAATCGCTAGGTCCTCAAATTCCTATACCCCAAATTGGTATATCCTCAAATCGTTATGTCTCCAAATCGCTACATTCCAATATTCTTACATTCCCGAATCCCTCCATTCTCAAATCTCTATATCCTCAAATTCCTACATCTTCAAATTGCTATGTACCCAATTAGCTGCGTCCCCAACTAACTATGTTCCGAACTAGTTACGTCCCCAACTAGTTACATCCCCAACTAGCTATGTCCCCAACTAGCTACGTCCCCAAATAGCTACGTCCCCAACCAGCTACGTCCCCAAATAGCTACATCTCCAACTAATTACGTCCCCAACTAACTACGTCCCCAACTATCTACGTCCCAAACTAGCTACGTCCCGAACTAGCTACGTCCCCAACTAGCTACGTCCTCAACTATCTACATCCCCAACTATCTACGTCCCCAAATAGCTCTGTATCCAACTAGTTACGTCCTCAAATAGCTACATCTCCAACTAATTATATCCCCAACTAATTACGTCCCCAACTATCTACGTCCCAAACTAGCTACGTCCCGAACTAGCTACGTCCCCAATTAACTACGTCCCCAACTACCTACGTCCCCAACTACCTACGTACCGAATTAGCTACGTCCCCAACTAGCTACGTCCCCAACTAGCTATGTCCCCAACTATCTACGTCCCCAAATAGCTACGCCTCCAATTGGCCAGAATAGAAAAATGAACGCCTCACACGTCTTTTCGACAGTAGTATTGGCTCGAACAATCACCAATTAAACCAAAAACAATAACAGTCCGCAAACGTCTCTCAAGCGAGTACAATTACTTGCATTCAGCAGTTGTTATTGTCATTATTATTCTTATTTACCAAAATGTAACATTGGAAGTCTTCACACTTGTGTGGATAGACCTTTTACTATGAATCGACCTTACGCGCTAACTCATGAGTCGACATCGATACTGATCACAATATTCGTGTATACATAGAAACGCACCACGTATCTAGTCATATTAGGCAACTTCCTTCTACATTTTAAATTATAACATACCCGTAAGTAATTCGGGAGTATAATTCGGTGCACGTTCAATGCTGCTGCAATTCCACCTACGATATCGAAATGCTTGCTGACACACAGTCGAAGTATCCTTCGCTGCTTGCACTAAGCTGGGCATCACGTCTGGCGCTGCTCTACATGCTCTTGCTTGTTTTCTTTCTAAAAGACCGGAGCTTTTCGCACTGGTACATGTCTCCCGTGTCCATATAAAATCGTCTCCTGTACGACCGAGAGCTCTGCAATATAAAACGTAACGATATTTAAATGTAAATGTACAAGTGTAAATATTGGGTATTACACATTTACGATATTCTGGAATATCTTCACGTTGTTGCGAACAGAAGCACTAAATTAGAGGAAGTGCTATAAATATGGCCTACCACTTTTATTTCTGTGTATGCAGTTCTCGTTGAAGATCTACAAAATGTAACTCTTCAATAGTTTATGTATAAAAGGCGTTTATTATAACTCGGTATTTTACAATTTAACAAATTTCCAAATTTCCAGTTTTTCAATTTTTCAATTTTTCAATTTTTCAATTCTTCAATTTTTCAATTCTTCAATTTTTCAATTCTTCAATTTTTCATTTTTTCATTTTTTCATTTTTTCAATTTTTCAACTTTTCAATTTTTCAAATTCCCCAAATTCCCTACATTCCCCAAATTCCCCAAATTCCCCAAATTCCCCAAATTCCAAATACCTCAAATTCCCCAAGTTCAAAATTTTCTATATTCCAAATTCCCCAAATTGAAATTCTCTATATTCCAAATCCCCAAATTCGAAATTCCTCAAATTCCAAATTCTCCAAATTCCAAATTCTCCAAATTCCAAATTCTCCAAATTCCAAATTCTCCAAATTCCAAATTCTCCAAATTCCAAATTCTCCAAATTCCAAATTCTCCAAATTCCAAATTCGAATTCCCCATTCCAAATTCCCCAAATTCCAAATTCCCCAAATTCCAAATTTCCCAGATATCAAATTCCGAAATTCCCAATTCCCTGAATTCCCCAAATTCTCCAGATTCCCAATTCCTCAAATTTCCCAAATTCCCCAAATTCGTTAAATTTTGCAAATTCCCCAGATTCCCAATTCCTTAAATTCCTCAAATTTCCCAAATTCCCCAAATTCGTTAAATTCTGCAAATTCCCCAGATTCCCTAAATTCCAAAATCACCAAATCCTCAAGTCACAACATCATCGAATCGTCCAATCTAAAAATACACAAATTTATTAAATATTAAAATCTCCCTAATTGCACCATCTCCGCAAAATGCCCTTCATCAAACAGTATTCCCCCATAAAAATATCACAGTTCCTATCGCGTATTTCGAGTTATTCGAAATTTTCCCGTGCTCCGGGAATGAAGTTAATTTCTCGTAGTAAAGGGACGATAAGTTTTTCATGTATGTAGGCACAGTTGAGCGAGAACCGTAAATCAGGGGTGAATTTCGAAAATTATAGGGCGTGAAGCTGAAAGGTGCCTTTAAGCGGCGTGGATGGATACGTGTATTGCCACGGTGCAAACCGTGCGAAGAATAATTACAGACACCTGAAAGTCGAAATGGCTCGAGCACGGATACGTCTAGACGTAACAGCCCTGGGAATGGCCGGCTCACCAACCCTGTGTCAGGAACCTACCCTCGAAATTACCCTATCAAAAGCCCGTAGCTCTAATTCATTATTCCGTCGCTGACTGCTATGGAGAATGTCGTTTCCAAGATGCCGTTCGCCTTATGTGCTCGTCTTCTTCGTTCGTGGCACTCCCGGAACTTGTTATTTGTTACGTTGAGAAACCGAGCGACCATAAACGTTCGCGTTTTCTGTTTTCGCTAGCGTGCAGCGCTCCGACGATTCTTGTCTTGCCACGCACGCTTCTTTCTCCTCGGCCATCGTGTACATTTGATACGTTAATTACCATTTAAACTTCACCGAGTGTGAGTTAAGTCGTTCCGAAACAAAAGAAAGATATAACGAATACAAGCAGCCTGATTCAAATGGGAACGTCCGACAACGGCATGCAACCTTGAACTCGCTACAGATCGTGGAGGGTGTAACGTGTGTACTGTGTACATCCACGATTCTTGTATTCGACGTGGAGACTGATTTCGGGATTTGAGGACTCGGAGTTGGTGATTTGGGAAATTGCGAATGTAGACAATTGGGAATTTAGAAGGTTGAATTTTGAGGATTTTGGCAATTGACAGAAAGATTTGAGAAGTTTGGTAATTTGGTAATTTGGTAATTTGGGGATTTGGGGATTTGGGGTTTTGAGGATTTGGGGATTTGAGGATTCGGAGATTTGGGGAATTGGGGAATGAGGAATTTGGGGAGTTGGGAATTTGGGGAGTTGGGAATTTGGGGAATTGGGAATTTGGGGATTTGGGGATTTGGGGAATTGGGGAATGAGGAATTTGGGGAGTTGGGAATTTGGGGAGTTGGGAATTTGGGGAATTGGGAATTTGGGGATTTGGGGATTTGGGGATTTGGGGATTTGAGGATTTTGGGGTTTTGGAATTTTGGAATTTTGGAATTTTGGGATTTGGGGATTTAGGAATTGGGGAATGAGAAATTTGGGAATTTGGGAATTTGGGAATTTGGGGATTTGGGGATTTGGGAATTTGGGAATTTGGGAATTTGGGAATTTGGGAATTTGGGAATTTGGGGATTTGGGGATTTGGGGATTTGGGGATTTGGGGATTTGAGGAATTGGGAGTTTGGGGAATGGGGAATTTATGGAGTTGGGAATTTGTAGAATTGGGAATTTGGGGAGTTGGAAATTAAGGGATTTGGGAATTTGGGAAATTGAGAATTTGGGGAATCTTGGGAATCTAGGTAATCTGGGGAATTTGGAGAATTTGGAGAATTTGAGTGTGTGGTAATATACAAATGTAGAAATTTAAGAATTTGAAAATTTGTATGAATAGAAGATATGCTATTTTTACCCAAAATATTTAAAATCGTAAATTAACTATAAATTCATATTCCAGTTTTGAAAATTAAGTAACTACACGACTTTCTCTTAATTACGAAAGAAATATGGGAGTTTACAGGGAGATGTTTTTCCGACATCATTCAAACTTCACTCTTTTATTTTTGCAAAATATTTGAAAACCGATCAGCAGCCTTCATTAAGAAACAACTCGTTACGTACGAAACTGTAGCAATTATTTCGCTTGACACCAGGAAGAAAAGGAAAAATATTCACGAGAAAATGATTAGGAAACCGTGAAAACAATTTTAAAAGAACACAGATTGAATGTTTCACGAATGACACTTGACAGATTGAGCATATAATTATGCAAATTGCTTGTCTGAAACACGTTGGCTGACGGACGGTAGTTATTTCAATATAAACCTGTAATTTTTGTAACTTATTGCTACAACAAAAGCTTTCTCCAACCTTTAAAACGTGTTAATCTAATAGAGCTTTCATTTCTTTTATAAATTCATACGTATTCGTTTAATGTTTCAATCTATTAATAAGCAAGATTTTTTTAATATTTCTTTTAAATAAACTTGTTTTTATTTTACAAATTCTCTTGTTGTTAATATTTATCTAATTCTTTCAAAATCAATTTTGGCTGAAATTGATTTTTGAAGATATTTAAATTCATTTCTTTAAATACACTTATATATACATATTTAGTTTTTCTTTACATTTAATAATTCTACATATGTGCTTTTATATAAGTGAAACACAATTTACTTTTAATGCAATAGTTATTAAATACAATTTTACTTAAGTAAACTACAATTTACTTTTAATACAATAATTCTACATATGTGGATATTATTCACATATCACCTCTTTCATGTATTGTTAACACTTTTGTATAAGTGAAACACAATTTAGTTTTAATGCAATAATTATTAAGTACAATTTTACTTAAGTAAACTACAATTTACTTTTAATACAATAATTCTACATATGTGGATATTATTCACATATCACCTCTTTCATGTATTGTTAATGCTCTTGTATAAGTTAAACACAATTTACTTTTAATGCAATAGTTATTAAATATAATTTTACATAAGTAAACTACAATTTACTTTTAATACAATAATTATTAAACCTAATACTTTTAATAAGTAAAACACAGTTACATAAAAAGTCATTCTTAACCTCAAAAAAATCACCCCTGAGAAAATGAATTCCTAACCTTAAAAAGTCGCTCTTGCAAACCTTACAAAATTTGTCGTCAAAAGACTTAACTAGATAATTTTGAAACCAAAATATAGTTTTACTCCAAAGTTTAAAGTTTCTTTCCATATTTAGTTTTGAAATTTACTTGTTACATTCGAAAAACATGAGAGCGTTAAGAAGATGAAACATTCGTACGAGAATGTATAAGAGTCTAAAGAGTTAACCAAATAATTTTAAATCTAGATTTAATAGTTTCCTCTCGCATTCAAAAACTTATTACATTTAAAACATATGGCGTTGTAAAAATAATAACATTCGTACGAGAACGTATATTCATAAATCCTACCATAACGAGTGTCCTGACAGAAAAGGTGTGTGCCTAAGCGTTTTACAAGTCAGTTTATACGTGTACAGTATACGTCATGTCAATAGCTGTTTTAATTAGCCAATGAACATATTTTCGAAGCACTCTTAACGATCGTAGAAAGATCTTGTCTCGCGAGACCACCTAGCACGTAACAAGTCTGGCGACTTGTTGAAAAAATTTCATCCGAAGAATATCATTCGCTGCGTGTTTCGCTGATACACAATCATTGTAGATTAAATTAATGAATCCAGTTTCTTTACGAGAACTACGTCTAATAAAATATGTATATCGCTTTCCAGTTCTATCAGCTACATATGTAAATCACATCAAACGGGATACTTACAATATGTTTCAAAGATAAATACAGCAGCTCGTAGATTAAATGGAAATCAAAAATTGCTTGTTAGTAAGCACGGCGAGAGGAAGAAGGAAATTCTGGAATATGGTTGTTTAATGCGGTATTTATAGTGGGTGTTCATTTTGAGATTTTAGGTTTCTTTAATTTCGTGAGTTTTGGAATTTTGGAAATTTGGAATTTTGGAATTTTAGAATTTTTAAACTTTGAATTTTAGAAGTTTAGTTTTACAATTTGAAAATTTTTGAATTTGGGAATTTTAGGAATTGAAAATTTTGGGATTTGGGGTTTTAGAATTCGAGAATTTTGGGATTTGGGGACTTTAGAATTTCAGAATTTTGGGATTTGGGGTTTTTAGAATTTGGGA